TCACCTCTCCTTTCTCACTCTTTTCACCTACAGAGCCATGTCCGACGAGGAGCATCACTTCGAGTCGAAGGCCGACGCCGGAGCTTCCAAGACTTATCCTCAGCAGGCCGGGACCATCCGTAAGAATGGTTACATTGTCATCAAGGGCAGGCCTTGCAAGGTCTGTTTCGTTTTCGTTCTGATACCTCAATTGTCTCTCATCCTTTGTCCCATCGATTCGCATAATTTTTGTTTGATATGTAGTATCTATATATATTTAGATGTATCGTCTGCTTCAGTTTCTCCTTCTCTTGTTGCGTTACGTCTATATCATTTTTAAGGGCTTTCTTTTTTCCTGTTCTGTTCTGTGACTTTGGATAATTGTGTTTTATTTACTGATTGTTGATATGGGGTGTGCTTTTACACTGTTTCAGTCTCTTTTTTAATCTCTTGAGATGCTGTCGTCCATCGAATTTAGTTTTCTAGATCAATCGTCCGTTTCTTTTGGGTGAAATTGATTGACCCATCTAGTTAGCTAAAATGAAACTAATGAATTGTATGAAGCTACCGTACTTCAGTCCGTTTTTTTCTAGGTATTAGTTTTCTCCTCCGCCGTTTGAGTAGAACATTTATTATCTTGTAATATGTTATTCTATAACCAAACTTGACCTTAGGCTTATGTATTTTCGTTTATAGGTTGTTGAGGTTTCAACCTCTAAGACTGGAAAGCACGGCCATGCTAAATGTCACTTTGTTGGAATTGACATTTTCACTACTAAAAAGCTGGAAGATATCGTCCCCTCTTCCCACAACTGTGACGTATGAAGATCTTGTTCTACTTTTATACTTTTCTTTGTAGGTTGTAGGTTTGTTTGTGTTAGTTTGTGATTTTTTATTCTTGAACTCTTGAAACACAGGTTCCCCATGTCAGTCGCACTGACTACCAGCTCATTGATATCTCTGAAGACGGATTTGTATGATCAAATTCTCTTTGTTTATTTCTTTGTATCAGTTTCCACTGGTTGGTTGTTCATGTAGAGCACCGTGGCTAACCCTAATTTTAATGAAAACTTACCAGATTAGCCTGCTAACGGACAGTGGTAGCACCAAAGATGACCTGAGGCTTCCAACCGATGAGAGTCTTCTGTCCCAGGTAAGATTTTCTTTTTGGCTGTTAACATTTTCTGTGCTGTTGTGTTTAATTGGCCTTAATGATTGATTGCATCCTGAGATTCCTCTGCTGTTACAGTACCATATTGCTTGTTACAATGAAATTATTTCTTTCTCCACTTCTTAAAGTATATTATCCGGTCCTTGTTATTATGGGACTCCAATTTCCACTCTGGGGTATGGAGTTTTAAGTGTGGATGCCTTTCTGCTTTCTTGTTTTTCCTCCTTTTATTATGCTTATGTTCTTCAGAGATATGGGTTTGAGTTTGTTGCAAAATGTGGATGTGTGTAATGTGTATGGGAAGGTTTGAATAACACTTTTTTAAATTTATAATTGCTAAAATGTTTTTAAAATTCAGAAATGCATTTCGTCCATGATTAACTAACAAGCGAACCATCTTAGTTGAGATTAAAAATTCGAAGTTTGTCCATTCTAATTGTTTTAGTCTGTAATTGTTTTCTTGTGCATAATACTAATCTATAGCACCAAATTATCTAGGTGGTTGAAAAATAATGTTCTATTGATCTATAAGTTTCTACTGGTACTATGTCTTGCAGATCAAGGATGGATTTAATGAGGGGAAGGATCTGATTGTGACTGTCATGTCTTCAATGGGAGAGGAGCAAATTTGCGCTCTCAAGGACATTGGCCCGAAATAGAGTTCCCTTTACAAATGCAGCAAACTCTTCAAAACAAAATCCAGATGTTCTTGTCCACAGTCATTTGACATGTCTGAGAAGCTTGGTTTGCTGCCCCCACCGGAATATTCTCGAGTAGCGGTGTCTTTTACTCTAGATAATATTTATTTTTCTCCTCCTGATTGCTGTTTGACTTTGAAGTTGTTTCTTGGTTAGTCTTCAGTCATTAAAGTATGTAAACTTCATAGTTGCTATGGTTGTTTAGAAGTTATAGGATAGAATCATCGTTTCTGAGGAAGTATTATATTTAGTTACCAATAGTAGTGGTTTCTTTATTGTTATATTGCTTATTATGTTGCAATTTTCTTTGCCGGTGGCTTTGTGAAGCTTGATTTTATGCCTTCTTGGGGCATTCAAATTATATAACCCATGTGTTATTTTTGCTGTTTGATGAAAGAAAATGAAGGGAAGTCAGAGGCCCAGGAAATAAAAGAGGAAATTTTACTATTTAAAAAGACTTTGTTGTAAAACTTGTTTTTGTTTTTCGGACGTTGCTAAAAATTTATGCAACCTGTCCTAACGGCAAAAACCATCCCTAAACTATAATAGATGCAATTGTACTTACAAAATTCTAATCATCAAAATTAAACCCTTCGACTTAAATAATTGTTTGAATTAAACTTTTCTGTTAGTTGGGTTAGAATTGTCGTGAAGTTCTGACATGTGATGTTTGATTGCTGACCCAATTTCATCTTCCTTAAAACGCTTCCATTTTTAACTTTCTCTAGTTATTCACCTACGCAACTTTGGGTTCCTCTTAGTCTCAATTTCGCCCAATTTTTTAAGATAATTTTGCAGAAAATAGAAGTCTGTTGCTGAGTTCATTATCTAAAATGATTTATATTTCAATACCTTCAAAAGCTCAAACTCCGATAGCAATTTTCCTTCCAGGTTATTACCGTCGAGCGCCAGATAACTGAGATGAAACTTCTCGAATTCACCGCCATTGATGGAGGAATTTTCCGATTGATTCAATGCTGGAAAATCCAAATCCTCAGACAGACTCTCGAGCTTTTCCATATCTCTGGAATCTGCCCTTCGAGTAAATTTCCACCCAAATGAACTTCCTTCAACCTCGACATCTGCCCAAATAAATTTGGGTATTTTGAAATTTTCGAATCGACGTCTAGGAACTCCAACTTCTCTAGATTCCAATAATTTTCTTGTATTTTGGTGAGAAATTTGTTACACCTTATCTCCAATTTCACAAACTCGCCAGAACCCAAAGTTTGTCTTCTTCCATGTTCTACTTTGCAAATTTTCAAGATTCTTTTTGTTTGCTCTCTCTCCCCCTCAACGAACTGAACGCTGCTCTTTGAATTTGAGTTGGAGAGTTTTATTTTTGTTTCTTGAAGAAGAATTTTAATGGCAATTTTTACCCAACTAACGTAAAAGTTTTAATACAAACAATTACTTAACTTGGAGGGTTTAATTTTTATGATTAGAAGTTTACGGATGTAATTGCAACAACTATTATAATTTAGGGTGATTTTTATAATTTACTTTTTTTTTTTAGTATTATGTAACCTGTCCTTGTTTTTAGGTAAGAATTTAAATGTCTTTAATGATGGGGAAAATGTACCAAAAAGGTTGTAGAAATATAATTTTAAGAAATAGTTAAGTGATATTTCAAAAGATAAAATATATATATATATATAGTGGAAAGATAAATTCAAATGGAGCTGGACTTATTCGACAGCTGCATTTAATTATATTGTACGAATCTCATTTTAATCTCAAATTCTCAGTTATACTCTTTAAAAAGTTCGGTTTTTTTGGGATGTTTCTAAGAATTTAAATAATATGTATTTATTTTGTTTGATTCAAATTTAAATGTGTTTAAGTATCTAAATTTATTGATATGGAACATATTTTGGATATATACTGTACCTATTTTGTAATGTTAAATAATATTTAACGTTTTGTGGACAACTTACAATGTTATGAAGGAAATAAAGTTACTAGAAGTACTATGTTTTGGATATATGATGTATATACTTTATAATGTTAAATCATACCACATGTATTTTTGATTGGTGCTATGAAATATATTTTTGGTAACCTTGTTTTAATATACTAAGTATTGCATATCACTGGAAAAATGAAAAAAATAAAAAAGAAATAATATTCTTTGTTGTGATATGTCGCATGCCGCTGAAAATAAAATAAAAGTTGTCGAACCCATGTTTAAAAAAGATTAATAAAATGCAAGAAAGCTAGGAATGAAAATGGTAAACAATTGAAAAAAATAGCAAATGATAATAAACGAAAGTTTGTAACTGTTAGAAGTTTGAAAACCCAAAGGATTGAAACAAAAATGATAGGAATTTCATTTTTAATTTTGGAATTCCAAAATATAATTATAATTAAGTTGAAATATTTCTTTATTTGTTCACTCCATTACTAAAATACAATCATTCATTCGTAATCATAAGTCTATACTGTCAACATGATCATAATTCAGCAGTAATTGATATCTACTCCTTATTTTGAGGTCGGATTCGATCTCTCATATCCCCAAATTATATAAGTTTATATTTTAATTGTACTAAAAAATGGCCATTCATTTATCTGCAAATAAATAATTAAAAATTAATAAATATAATTGAGGAAATTATTTAAAAATATTTTAGAAAAAATTCGTACTCATGAAAATTTACAAATGTAAATAATAACATGATAATTTTGGTAAAATATGAATTTTAAAATAGCCCTCTAATAATAATTTATGGAAAAAGGAAAAAAAATCAATTTGAAACCTAAAAAAATAAAAAATTTCACAGAAAAGAAAATTTAGTTGACTAATTTTTTCAATGTCCGTGTCGTGTGGCCCCATGATCACAGCCTCTTCCATGAAAATCAAAGCAACATTAATTAGTCTTCACCACCCCTTCCATTGATTTGGTTCCAGCTGGCCCTACAGGGGCCCACCATGTCCTATATTTTTTTGCTTTCCGTCTTTGTCCCTCTGGACTCACCAAAATTACAAAATCAACCTCCGCCCTACAAACTCCGAATTTAAAAATTACTGTACAGATTTACCCTCCTCATTTAAACCCTCTAAAAATATATACTAACAAGAAGATTACGTATTTCTTTTATTTATAATTTATACATCACTGAATAATCATGTATTATATTTTGAAAAAAATATATTTTGTTTTATTGTATAGGTCGGAAAATTTAAATATTCTTATAGTGGTTAGTTCCTCTATTCAAGCTATCAATTTTTTTCTTATAAATAATTTTTATATTGTTGGATGCTGCATTATTATTGAATAATGTTGACATGATTAATCTCAATACAAAATAGTATTTATACTTTTGTAATACTATAAATTTGATAAAACCAATCATTTCTAAAAATTGATGATACGATGCACAATGACGAATAATGAGAACAGCGAGGGAAGATTTTCATTACCATAGGCGAACCATTTTTCGAATTTCTTCCCATTGTTTGTACCCAGGTGAATAAATCTTCAAAATGTTTTTTTAAGTATATTGTAATCAAACTTTATAAACAAAATATCTATCCTCAAAAGGAGGAGATGATATGAATTGCCTAGTAATTTAAATTATGATACAGTTCAATTTTATTTAAGAGCTTTTTAATGTAATTTTATTACTTTTCAATTTTATGGTATAGTATCTTTTGTCTTTTGCTATGGTTGATGATGTGGCATCTAGGATTGGGTTTTTGGACAAAAAAATTTGTTCTTTGTTTAGAGCTTTGATCTCAAGACAATTGATCATGCCTAACCTTGAAATGACTTAGAAGTTAATTGATCAAGATTCCTAATTCTAATTTACTAGATCTTCGTACCATGAGGATCGTACTAGAGACCTCGAAATACAGCTCTATTTTTTTTTTTCTACTCCCAACTTAATCAATTATTTGATTTAGAAGCATTGGACTTTGGTGCGTGCAGACTTCAGAATTTCTGATTCAAATCCTGCAACAATCCACGACCCAATTAAAAAAAATCCTTAGCTTGATCTTAACGAAGCAGTTGAAATTTGAAGTTTCACCAGGAATTTACCTTGGTTTTCTAACACGACAAACTTCCAAAATAGATGAAAGTTTTTATAAAGTGCACCGATTTTGCCCATGGCCAATTTTTCTCTTTCCGTATGCTACTGGAATTTGGGTTTGTGGGTGTGAATTTAACAAAAAAATATCTTTCAAGTTAATTTTGTCATATTCATGTCTAGTTGATCGGAGCTGAAATCTCAAAAACAAAAAGAGGAGAGGACAAATATTTTTTCTTCGAATTAATTTAATTACACTTTATTTTTCGTGTACTGCGGCGTGGACTTTTTTCAGCTCCATTTCAGATCCCGAGGACAAACCCCAAGAACAGAAAAACCTTTGGTATATTCGAGAAAGAGCTTGATTTTCTGTTGATTTGTTTGAATTTGGATTATGGGTGATGATGAAGAAGAACAGCCACCGAATTCGCCGCCGCCGAAGTCCAAGGCCGTTCTGTCGCGGCCCACTATTAATCTCCCGCCACGGACTTCTATGGAGTCGTTCTTCGGTGGGCCGGGTTTCGGATTCGGGTTTAGCCCAGGCCCCATGACGCTCGTCTCGAGCTTCTTCTCCGATTCCGACGACTGCAAGTCTTTCTCTCAGCTCCTTGCCGGAGCCATGGCCTCGCCGGTGGCAGTTCCTCCCCACGCTCCGACGGCGCTTGAGCTCAAGGGCTCAGCCGGTCTGGATTCTGCGGGACTATTTTCTCCCGGTCAGGTAATAGCTTAAAAATCACTTTGCAAACTGATTATATGATATCTAGGCTGCGTGTTTTTGGTTTCTTTTATCTGAATTGCGTGTTGTAAATACAAAATTTCATTGAATTGAGTATAATCTGTTAATTACCGAGTACTTTGTAGAACAATGATGAGAAAAATTGGGATCATGCTTTATTGTGTGTTTTATATTCCTTTTGGGACAATTGAATCTGCATATCAAGTGTTTGTCAAGTGGTCTCAAAGGATGTACTGCAATAGAGGTTACAAAGCAGAAATCATTTCGTTTCGCTCCAATTTTCTCAAATGGGCGTCGGTTTCTATGGCAGATGTTTTCTCTTTCATGTTTGCTCATAATGGAAGAAGCAAAATAGTCGTATTTACGAAGAGAACTGATTTATTCATTTTGTTGAGCCTTTGTTATGATGTTAATGGCAGTCCATGATAATTTTTATCCCATTTCAGTTGCAGTCTTTTGAACTTTAGCTCTTATTGGAAGCTTCCATCTTTTGAATTGTCTTATAGAAGAAATGAAGCTGAAGATTGATCTTTATGTGAACTAAAATGATAATGCATGCAAAGCTGTCTAAAAATGGATGTTTGTCTTCGTTTCCTAATCAATAATCTCTATTAGGAACCTGTCAATGCCATGTCGTCCTTCCAATTTATTGTTCCTTTTCTAGAGTTATATTCCATAGTCCTTCGTCCTGATACCAAGAAAGAAACAACTTGATTCATTAATCTACATTATTGGCCAAGCTTTTTAGCTAGGATTTGTACCTCACTCGGGCTACTTTGTTGAACTTGTTTGAAGCAGATTTGCCGCTAAGCATGTATCGCCTCTCAGCTCTCCGGGGGATTTGTCTTGCAATTACTTAGTTGTGAGCACCGAAGAGTAGTCAGACATGTCAAAAAATCTGACTATTTTCTTTTTGGGCCAAAAAAGTTTCGCTTCGTGCTTATATAACTGTAGTACTGATTTGACATGGATATGATATCAACGATTTTTGGTACTGAATGACTTTATCATATAAAGCTGCAAGCCTGCATATGACAATGTTGTTCTTTATTAGTGTGTTGCTTTTTTTGTACAAGGTTGTGTATATATTGGCTCTCACTTTTTCACTCATGGCTTGTTATAGGGACCTTTTGGAATGACGCATCAGCAGGCTTTGGCACAGGTTACCATGCAGGCTGCACAAACCTATTCTCATAAGCAAATGGAAGCAGAATCTTTTTCTTCATCGGTAGCACCCGCTGCATCCGCAGAGCTTTCAGCGACATTTCCTGGCGAGAAAACTAAAGATCAGCTGATGCAACCTCCACTACTGAACTCTGCAGTTGCTACCACGGAGTCATTGGATATCTCTCAATCAGATCAGAGATTGCCACCTTCTTCGTGTAATGTCGATAGGCCTGCTAATGACGGCTACAATTGGAGAAAATATGGACAGAAACAAGTGAAGGGCAGTGAATTTCCTCGAAGCTATTATAAGTGCACACATCTGAATTGTCCTGTGAAGAAAAAGGTTGAACGATCTCTGGAAGGCCAGGTTACTGAAATTATCTACAAAGGTGAGCACAACCATGAACGACCTCAACTGAATAAGCGAGCGAAGGATGTCGGTAATTCTAACGGATATTCAAGTTTTCCTGGAAATCCTGAGCTATCTTCTCAACTTCAAAGTGGATATTTGAACAAATCGAATGAGCAGACAGCTGTGTCTTCTATTGCAAAGAAAGATCAGGATTCAAGCCTTGTTACACATGAACAGTTATCTGGTACTAGTGATGGTGAGGGATTGAGTGAGATAGAAACTGGAGTGAATCAAAAAGATGAAGACGAGCCCGATGCCAAGAGACGGTAAGGCATTTTTATGTAATAGAATGTACCTTTTCAACTCATTAGTTTGAAGTATATAGCTGTCTTTTATTGATTGATATGAACAATATCATATTTGCCCTCTGAAGGAATACTGAGGTTAGAGTTTCAGAGCCAGCATCTTCCCATAGGACCCTCACGGAATCCAGAATCATTGTGCAGACCACAAGTGAAGTCGATCTATTGGATGATGGCTACAGGTGGCGGAAGTACGGGCAGAAAATTGTTAAAGGCAATCCTTACCCCAGGTGCTTGTGCTTTTTATCTCATTCAGTTCCAGTAGTTAAAGAGTTGTAGAAATACAAATTACCACTGTATTGACAAACAGAGTGGCCTTAAAAATTCAAAACCTTAAAAACTAAAATCTTCCTTAGGATGTAATTTGGAATATTAAGAAGACTGATTTGGCTTGTGGCTGTTGAGACTGATCCTTTTACTAATTTCATCAAGTGATCTTCATTCACGCTGCAGGAGCTATTATAAATGCACGACTCCGGGATGCAATGTTCGTAAACATGTTGAGAGAGCTTCAACAGACCCAAAAGCTGTAGTAACAACGTACGAGGGTAAACACAATCACGATGTTCCAGCCGGTAGAACCACCAGCCACAGTACATTCAACAGCAACGTTCCTCACCTAAAATCACAAAGTATGGTTACTGAGAAAAGATTTTCAAGTAAGAACACTGATTCCGGGAACTCACGTCAACAGCCTGTTGGACTTCTACGGTTAAAGGAAGAACAAATAACATAGTTTCTCTTTCTTCAACTTATGAGCAAAAGAGGTCAGACCATAACATGAGAGTACAACTTCTCAGGCAGATGCTCTCTACCTGTTTTATATCTTCCCACTTCAAAAGCCTTACTGAAAGCCATACTTTTAAATCAATACCATTTTGTCCTGTTGTTAATATACAGTTAAAGGGAAATGAGAACAGAAGAATTCACATCAAGAGGAACTTAGATTGTAATAGTTATTGTATGTAAGATGTCTGAAAGAAGCATATCGTATCAAATCTACTTTTGCATTCTTTTGTAAATGGGAATACAAGTAAATTATTCTATATTATTTGCTTATGATATTGATCCATCTAAAGTGTGACCGAGCAGTCTCTCCCTTTCTTACTGGAAGCTTGCAAAATTTTCCTTTTTGGGTTAAACTGTTTGGTGGGTCTTGGAAAATTTTTGCTTCAAAGACAGACCTGGTTCCACATCAAGCAAGGGAATCCTCTTTCCTCTACTGTCTGCTTTATGTCTGTACTCAAACAGGGTTAGAGGTTCATCTTCGTCAAATGCTTTGACTATAAAAAAAAGTATCTTATTTGTTTATTTAGTGAAAGGTAACATTAAAATATCCACATCTGCTGGGAAAGGAACTTGGCTTTTCTTTTCGGATGAACTGGTTCGTGTGACTTGAATGAGCCATCCCAAAGTTGTTCAATAGTCTATGGAAGATCGAGTTGATAATGAGATTGTCGAGATGTGCACATTGGTTATGAAAATCGTCGAGTACCTGCATATCGGTAATGAGAGTTGTCAAATGTTGGTTTTTAAGTATGAGGAGAAGCTATATTTGATTTGTTGGGCTAGCTTTTGTGATTAGAATTTTAAAAGGGTCTAAATGGAACTGACAGGTAACATTTTGATTTGTATGACAGGAAGCTGCCTCAAGTTTGAAAATTCAACACAATTCACCAGAGAAGACAGTTCTCTCCAGCAATTCCTCAGCTGTGGCTGCCAACAGAGGTAAAAACAAATCTCATCTCCCCTAAACGACTACGTTTCACATCATAGTTCAGTTTCTTTTCATACTCATGAGCTACTCAATGACATATTGGAGCTGAATCTCTGATGATAACAGATTCATAATTGGATGCTTTTGTTTGGGATTTAGTGAAAGGGAAAAAATTACAGGGAGGGGGAGAAATGGAAAGGGATGTTAAAAGAGGGGAGAGAGAGAGAGATGAGAGGTGAGAGAAGTGGAAATTAGTGGGCCTTATTGGGGGCCCATGAATGTAATAAAAGCATCACATGCTTGTCCACAAGTTACATAATGAAAGACACCCACCCATTTCTCTTTTTAGTTTCCATCATTTATAAGGGTGAAAATGTGTCCCTCATCCTTTAATTTGCTTTGTCCCCACTATCACCTTACTAGGGAGAGAGAGAGATTGAAAAGCTGTGGCATTCCTTTGTTAAATAAAGAAAGATATCAAGCTTTCAAATTCCCTTTTGGGTCAATGGGAAGAAAATTACAGAAAACAACGATGTCAAGTGTCTAATACCTCTGTCTTTAGAGTGTAGAATTTGTTTGTTTCCTTTTATTGTAATTCTTTTAGTATTTAAGTATATTCTGAATTGCTTATACGTGGTTGAATCTTATTTTGGTTGATGACTGTTAAGTTTATTTCATTTTCGTTCTTGAATTTTTAAAATTTTCATTTTAATTTATGAACTTTTTTGTGGTATAACAAATGTAGGTGGAGAGTTTCCGCTGTCAAAAGAAATGAATAAATATCTTAACTACTGTGCTTCTGTCGACAATATATGAACTTTTAAGAAACAACTATTTTAGTCCCAGAATTTTGGAAATATCTACTTTGGTTACTATTTTTTGTTATGTTCTCACCCAATATTTTACCTCATCCATCAATTTATGGGGCTATCTTTCTTATAGATACATTAAAAGTTAGGAACTGGAATAAAATAATTCAAGACCAATGGAAAAACAAAGTTTAATTTTAGTAAATCAGGATGCTTTTTGACTGATTGAGCAATATCCACCAGATAAATCATTGAGGTAACATTTGCAGGAACTGAACTGGGTGTGGAAAGTCGAAATATTTCTGCAAAAAATGGATGGAAATCAGAATCACAGGAAAAGGTGTTGATATTTTGAGAGGTTCACAAATTTGGCACTAAAGTTTTGGAGTTATTAGGAGGAATTGCAAAAGAGCAGAGGAAACAGGTGATGCAAATAAATAAATAAATTATTGGTATTCGTTTTGCTCCCCGTTGAAGCAAGCAACTCTCTTTTTCATTATTCAATTCAATTCTCTTCCTTCTGTTCTGATCCCCTTTTGACTTTTTCTTCAATGATTCTTTCAATTTTCTCTATTAATTTTGTTTTCGAATCTCTTCCAAACATATAACGCCACACATAACATAAACTTCACCTCCTAACTGCACACATTTTCAGATGCTGCCCCATTAATTCGATTTAATTATTCTAATTACATTTTTTATTGGTTAAATTGTATTTAGGTTAGAGAAAATTTACCAGAGTGAGAAAAAATAAACTAACTTTTTTTAGTATAACATGCTCTGGTTCTGTATTCAAATTAACAAAGAAATCGAAGTAATCCCTTAATATTATGAACTATATACTATTAGTCTATTTTGTACACCTTTGATACCATGAAAAAAAAACTTAAGTGGATAGGTTAGAATAAATTTAGCCATATATTAATATTTTAACCTAAATAACCTATTACGATTTAGAAAATGATCTCTGAACTCAAAATTTAAATTTAAAATGTAGGACAATTGAAAGTTTTCAATAAAAGAATTATTGACAATAATAGTAGTTTTACATCATAAATTTCAAATTTTCAAAAATTTACCATCTTGTTTTAATAATCATTGATATATACGAAAATGGGTGCCTTTTTACTTCAATTACCAACACAATTTTTCAATTAAAGCTTATCCGGTTCATCTACTTTCGAAATATCTATTTCAATTTTTATATTTTCAAAACATTCGATTTTGTCCTATACTTTGAAAAAGTGAATATTCCAATCTATGTTTTCAAAAAAAATTTAATATAAGTTTTATACACAATAAAAATTATTTAATAAAAATTTATAGTCACATCTCAATAAATTTATTGAACCGAGTATCACCTCGAAATTTAAAATTGATTCAATTAAAAATTAAAATAATTATTTTTAAAAAATATAAAAACTAAAATGAATAGACTAAAATAACAAAAAATGAATATGAAGGTATGGCTGGTCTGTTTGCTCTTAGGCTTCCATTGGCCTCAATATGATCAAGTACAGCAGCTCACAACTTTGGTATGGGATGAAGACGATCCACAGCGGTTCGATCAGACGACGAATCGAAATCGACGGGCGAGAGAATCCCAAGGGTCAACGCGATTTTGGAAATCTAGTGGGCTCGGAATTGGTGAGGGTAAAAAGTGCATATATACAAACCCTATCGAGGAGCGACAGTGAGTCCTCCAAAAAGAATTTAATGCAGTTGAGCTACCCTGTCAGAACGCACCGTTTTATATTTTTATATTTTTATATTTAATTATCAATTTACATTTTTCAAATATTTACGTTCAGAGATTTGGTTGTCTGCGGGCAGGCTCTACCATCAGCTTCTGTAGTGAGAATTCTCTAAATTACCTTCTTTTCTTTTTCTTTTCTTTTAATTAACATGGAGCCCAATGTCTGACAACAAAATGCCAAAATTCATTTCTAAAACTTTGCTTTTTTTTCTTTCTCCTTCTAAAAGGAAAAAGGGCTAAATTTAGTCACTAATCTCACTTCACTAAACTACACTACAATACAGAGGGTCATTGACCCACATCTCACGTTTTCTTCCATGTAATGTCATTCTCTCGCTTTGGAATTTATTCAAGTTCAAGTCTTGTTCATTAATCTCAATTGTTTATGAAATTCCGTTGTTGGATTTTCATCACCCAGATGAGATTTTACTAAAAAAATGGTGTCTTTTTTCTTTTCTTTTCGTGGGAACTATGTGCGGACGTGTATAATTAATTAAGAGCCGAAGGCGAAATTTCAATCTCAAAGCTTGAAGTTTTGGCAAATCAATCGATCGTTCACGTCGTGTTTTTCGTTTCTTTTTCTTATTTCTTGGAACAGAATGGAATTGTCCATGCGAATCGTTTTCTAGGTACCATACCAACAACTAATTCAATACAAAAGGACAGATTCGGAAAGAAGGGCAGAGAACATTTAATAGAGTAGTGGATTGGTTTAATGTCTGGTCCAATTGGCTTCAAAGTAGTGAAAGTTACAGCACCAAAAGAGGAGTTGGGCTTACTGCTTAGGCGTCTAATTTCTAATAGTCGAATTCTTGTGAGTCGAGAGAAGAAGAGGGCGTTGAATTGATGAAGAAAACGAGAGCTGAAGAGTGGGCAGTGGTGGCTCTCTTCTGTGACACATGATTTGGGCAGGGAAAAAGGGACAACGCTGGAAACAAGGAAAATTAAAGCAAAAGGAGGAGGTTGGGAGGTAATTATAGGCTTGAAAAGCAAAACCCAGGCCTGCTTCCATCTTTTTTACTTCTCTCCATCACGGGTTCACAGATTCCTTCAGTAAATATACGGAAGCTTTCAAAGCAACCGAAGAGAACCCAGAGCGAGGAGGCCAGGCCCCCTTCTCTTCTCTTCTCCTCTTCTCGGTTTCCATGACCGCATTCTCTTTTCAGCAATAACCTTATCTTTCCCTTTCTCTTCCTCGTTTTTCTACTGATTCCAAATCCCAAATATGACTAAACTTCAGTGGCAAATCTTTGTAGTTTCTGTGGGAAATGGAGAGAAGAAGGGGAAGTTGGTAATCTGAATTTCAGCCTCAAGGAGGAAACCCCATCTCATTTCCTTGTTCTTATCTTGCTTTTCGCTTCCGCCATTTCGATTCTTCTTTGTTTTTTTCTGGGTGCGCCCCAATGAGGAAGCATGGATGGCAACTTCCTTACCATCCTCTCCAGGTTTGTATTTGTTTGTTCTCCATTTTCTTTTGTCGTTAATCATACATTTATTTGCTACAAATATATCATTCTGAGTATGATTCTCTTTTTCCTCTTTATAGGTGGTTGCCGTTGCTGTATTTCTAGCTCTGGGGTTTGCTTTCTATGTCTTCTTTGCTCCTTTTGTCGGGAAGAAGATTTTTCAGTATGTTATTATTGGTCTATATACTCCTCTTGTAAGCTCTCTCCCCATTATCCTCTTATGTTCAATGTTGTACTTGCTCTTCTGTGTTATGGTTCCAACAGCTGAGATCTATCCGTTTTGCACTTGTTTGTCTCTGATTTAATCGCCTGGTTCTGTGAATTTGATCTTTCCCCACTTATCAAAGATCCCTTATCTTCATGGATCTCCCTCCTTTCGTCCCATTTGATCTAGTTTTGGTTGTCCATAAATCCATATTGGACAATTGCGAGGAAACTTGTTCCCTTCGTTTGGCCTGCTTCTGAACCTTGAAGCTAATGATACCTGATAGGGGAAGTCCATTATCTCAACCTGAAATACGCTCGCGGGCTGTATATTCTGATATTTCTCCTGGTCTCATGCCATGGAAGAATGGGATGCTTGTCAAATTTTAGGGACTGATTCGAAACTCTGTTTACTTATAGTTCTGAAACCCCACAAGTTGTATCGGTTACCTCTTTGTATGTAAGAGATGAGCCTGATGTATGGAACAGACAGTTTTTCTGATAGAAAATGAAATCTGGGTCTGGTGATTATTCTTCTATGGTGGATGGAGTGAACTCTAGAATTTGAGTCCTTCTCGTGGTGTGTATGATATTTGATGTTTTAAGCATTCGAAGGTGAAATCGAGGCTTGTGTTTTGATAGAAGTTATGGTGATGATACCAAGACCTGGAAAATGAAATATGCAAGCCAATTCGTTCTATCTCTTCTTTGTCACCGTTGTATCTTTATGGAGCCTGGTTCTTCATTTTCTTTTCTCATGACATCTCTTTTGTTACCAGATTACATGTGTGTTCGGCCTATATATCTGGTGTGCGGCAGCCGACCCTGCAGACCTGGGAGTGTTTAAATCCAAAAAGTACATCAACATACCAGATGAAGGGAAGTGTTCTCAACAAAAAAGTTCCAAACTTGGTGGGGAATCAACGACATTCACACATGATCCCAATGCTGCCTCTGTCGAAGAAAAATCTGTAGATAAAGACGCGGTGGGTGCAGATGCAAATTCTAAGGACCTTCTGCAAATAGAAAAAGACAGTCCAGCTTCAAAGACATTATCCTGTCTTTCGTTGGCATGCTTCCCTTGTGCATTTGTTTGCAATTGTTCGAGTTCGAATGAGGAATCTTCCCAGCAACACATGAGTGAAGATGGCATGTTTTACTGCAGCTTGTGTGAAGTTGAGGTGATTGAACCGTCAAAGAGCTCGTAGTTTCATATGACAAGTCAAGAGAACAAACTAAGGAAAACTTTCAGAACATATTTTCACCGAGACTGACTAAAAAACAGCTTTTAAGCTCAACGCAGAATCTCTTTATCTCTCTTTTATATGTTAATTTTATCAAAAGTTGATTTGTTTTGTGAATATTGTACAATTGTATTCAAATTGTATTTACATTTAACCTTCCTTGAAGCACTCTTTACTGATTGTTTATTGAGGTGGCCTTTAAGTAATCCAAGCATTACTCTGGTTCAGGTTTTCAAGTACAGCAAGCACTGTAGAGTTTGCGATAAATGCGTTGATCGTTTTGATCACCACTGCAGGGTATAAAGAATGTTTGAATTCTCACCTCCTCTTCCTCACTTCGGTGGCCCAATAGTTTTCTAACAACTTGTTTACTCGCGATTCTGCAGTGGCTTAACAACTGCATCGGCCGGAAGAACTATAGACAATTTTTCACCCTCATGGTCGCCTCCCTCCTCTTGGTAAGCTTGATCCTCCTCTCTCTATTCAAGAAACCAAATACTGTGGCATTTCGCTGAGTCCTGTTTACCTTGGCCAACTTCTCACATTTTTACAGAGATTTTTCTTTTTGATATTTTTGAACTTTGGAGGATCACGATGCCTCTCGATCATAGATATTTCAAATTCTTGTTATGATAGCTGCTGTTAGATTTCTAAAATCTTTGCCAATCATCTGAGCTATTTGAATTTCAAAACCAATCTACATAATTCCACCTTTTAATTCTATGATCCCTCCTTGCAACATGACAGCACCTCAAGAGCATCCCACCAGAGTAAGGATTTATTTTCATGTCAGTTTCATTTTAATTAGTTATTGACAGGTTTATACATGGTTTGTGCACCTTGGGCTTGAGATTGCAGCTTATTGTACAATGGTCGAGCGGAATCCTTGTGCTGATCTGCTGTTTTGTCGAGAAGAAGCGATTCTCTGTTGAAATCTCCTCAAAATTGGGTAGCAGCTTTTCTTTGGCACCCTTCATTATTGTAGTGGTTAGTGATTCTGACCATTGCTTGGCTTCTGTGTTTGGCTTAACTTTCTGAGCAACAATCTAAATTGATTCCTTTCAAACTTGATTGGTTCACTCGTTAGTGTTCAAATAATGAGCAAATTGTATCATTGTTTTCCGTAAACTGATTGTTGTGACTTCCATTTTCAGGCAGTTTGTACGATCTTGGCCATGATTGCGACGTTGCCGCTTGCTCAACTTTTCTTTTTTCACATCCTTCTCATAAAGAAGGCAAGTTTAGCAACATCATATTTTCTTTTCTCTGCTTTTACTATTGTTTCTTGCCTGAATTTTTTTCTCTCATTCTCTTCGTCGCATTGTGATTGATTACTTGCCTGCATTTGAAACAGGGAATTACTACATATGATTATATCATAGCTCTAAGGGAGCAGGAGCAAGAGCAACAGGGAGTTGGTGGCCAGCAAAGTCCTCAAATGTCTGTCGTCAGCTCATTAACTGGACTAAGCAGTGCGAGCTCGTTTTCTACTTTCCATCGTGGTGCATGGTGCACTCCGCCGCGCTTGTTTCTCGAGGATCAGGTAATTTAACCAACTGTATCTTCTACTTCCTATTCAAGCTTGAAATGGATATTGAAAAACACTCGGGTTTCGAGCTTGAGTACCTGTTCTTTTTCCTTTCAGTTTGATGTGATTCCACCAGAGACTGGGTCTGTTAGTTCTCTAGGAAAGAGGACGGCTAATGAGGAAGCAACAAAGAAAAAGAACCCTGCAGCTGTGAGGATCAGCCCATGGACACTGGCAAGACTAAATGCTGAGGAGGTTTCAAAGGCTGCTGCAGAAGCAAGGAAGAAGTCCAAAATTCTGCAGCCTGTGGTGAGATCAGCGGCTCCTTTTGAGCGAGAAACAGATAGCGGTTTTGGAAGTAGTGGTCGCCGAGTTGTTTCACGACCTGAAAACAATAGAAGGCGAGGGAATAAGCGGGTGCGACTTCCAGCTGATCTACCTATGAAACACATGACAAATATTCCAGCAAAAGCTGTTGACAAAGGTTTCTCTGGCACATCAACCAGCCTTGGTCCTCTTCAGCTTGAAGCACGCAGTGCTTTCCAAACAAGCAGAGCAATGTCGAGTTCCACCATGGTTGCCTCGTCTCCGGAGAGCAGTTTGGACTCACCTGATATCCACCCGTTTCGAATATCCTCATCGGGAGCTGAAGAGTCTAAGCGACTCACAGGCCTATCTGCAGCAGTTAATGCAGCTGCTCAAAAGGGACTTCCACTGTCAAGGTCAACTAGTGATGGATATGAAGCTTCGGGTGGGGAGGACAGCGACCGAGTTCCTTCGAGGATTGTCCAAAGATCGACAAACTGGAACAACGCCTTGTATGGTTCAGATCAGGATGAGAGGCTTGCACAACTGCAAGCATCATCTTCTAACCAGATTAACAGCAAACATACCCGATTATGAGCTTCTTATCGATCAGGTTCATCTCGATATCGTGGTGGTGCAAAGTTGATAATTCTTTCATTCTCCATCCAAGGAATTCTCAAGCACCAATCAAACAATCTCTTCTGTAAAGTGAAATTCTGCCTCGGCATTGCAACCAAAGGATCAAGGCATCACTGAAGATGAGTTACCTGACCCGATGCCGATCTCGATGGTCGAATTTATTAGTTTATTTCTTGAAACTCTCGGATTTGCCTCGCTGTTTGATATGAAATGAATTCCTTGGACTGCTTTTGTTGAACATGTGTTAGTTCCAACAGATGAATTCTTGTTATCATTCATCTTTAATGATGTTTACTGAAATGTGTTTCAACACTAAAGTTTTCCAGTCATGTTGTCAATTCTTTTACCCATACATGATCCATTTGATGAGCTTTGACATATTTCTCCAACGCCCAAATTTGTAGACAAATCAATCTCTTCAAGGATTGGTTAAACTAAACTGTGTCAATTGTCTTTACAATACTACAAACTTTTCAATTATCTCTGCATTTCCATTTATTAATTTTGTAGGTCTTTGGAATGAGGGGTAAGTTAAAAATAATTGTTGATTTAATAAGTATTTACAAAATCTATTTCCCTGAATATTGTGGATAACATTAATTTAAAAAAAAAACAAAAAAGAAAGGGAAGAAATAGAAAAATGAGTAAAAACAATAGAAACGCTACCTTCAAGACTTGATCTCGAGTAATAGGGTATCAATGAAAATATTGTGCAGCCATGAGAAACCTCAACTGCCAACATGATCATAGTTCAGCGGTAATTGAGATCGACTCCTTTCTTTAAGGTTCAAACTCCCACTAAAGTATATTTGTAACAATTTAGTTCTTATCATGAAAAATCTTATCAAATTTAAGTGTCTATTTTTATCATAATAACAATTTACTCTTTGTAATTTATAAACATATTTGGTTGTTCATCGATTTATTGATTTACCCATATAAAAAATTTAACAAAAATTTTACACTAAGGACTACATCGTTACAAACTTTAAATTATCGGGATTAAATTGTTACTAATACAAAAGTATAGAGACTAAATTGTAATAAACTAAAGTTGAAGGATTAAATTGTTATTATTTGAAAGTATAAGAATGGAATGCGGATAAACCTGAAAATATAGGAAAGAATGAGGCTGTGTTCGAATTTAGATGACATTTATGCCGTTAGAAGAAAGCAAAGTGGAAGAGAAAAATCAAGTTGCAAGCATCAAGCAAGATTTGATTCTGATTAACTAAAATTTGATTTTTTTTTTCTTTTTCTAAATTAAATAGTACATATCACGTGAGATTTCTAGTTTAGTAAGTAACTATAATAAAATAAAACAAATATGAAAAATCTTTATAGAAAAAGACTTAGATAAAAGATAAACTAGTATAGATTTTATTTTGGTTTAAATTTAAATTGGTTTTTTAAGTTTCCATTTTTCTTTCATAACTTCAAAAATATCTATGCTGCACTAACCTTATACACATTTATTTTAGTATTTGAACTTTTAAAAAATAATTATTTTAATTATTACGATCATTTTTGAACGGTTAAAATACCTTACTCTTTCTTTGGATCATTAATTCCTCATCCCATATTTATCCTATTAAAAAAATCATAATTATCACAGCTAACTTATATAACACTTACATATGTCCTGTTAGCATTATCCACTCCTTAAAAAGTAAAATAATAATAAGAAGTAAAACGAATATGTTTTTAAAGATCATGACTTTTTGGTGAAAAATAAGTGTCTTAACCACTTGAACTATGCTCAATTGGATAACTATACGAATAATTAAAACTTAAACTCCAAGTTCAAAGTAGGATTGAAGCCATCTGTATCCATGTGTAGTGTATCTCTATTTTGACGACTCACCGTCCAAACTTATGGGTCACCGCAACCTCATATTTTTGTAACAGAAAAGTTTATTATAAAAATAATTTTAAAGGTTCGAAATAGAATTGAAGTTTCTTATAAATAAGGGGAAAAAAATAGGAGGGCATAACTGAAACTAGGTAAGAGTTGAAGGGTATTATTTATTTAATTTTGTTTTGGTTCGCCGATAACCTTTGACGACGCCGATGCATGTCTGAGGACTGTCCCCGTACGCGAAAGAAAGGCAACACAGATTGAAGAAGGGACGCGGAATTTGACGTCTGGATCCCCAAACCCCTTCGAAATAGCGCAGTTTCCTTCTCCACAGCCACGCCTCTTCCCCCATTCTTACATTTTCTCCGAAATCTTCTACTCCTCTCTCTCCCCCACATCAATCGCCAATCTTCTCCACTGGAACCTTTTTTCGCCGCATCAATGGCGTCCCCCTCTGCGTTTTCACCTCCCCAGATCTGACCCTTCTGCATTGCCTGGCTTTGCAGCTTCCCATTCTACTGTTTGGGGATGCTGATGTTTTAGCTCTGTGCCGGATCTCGCGCTGGAAGCGTACTTGGATTTGGGACCAATTGGGGATGGAAATGGAATTGTCTTCTTCCGTCAATTCTTCCGAAATCATCCGGGATCCTTTTGAGGACAAAGAATGGCAGGAAGATCGTTTGCTTAGTGTGGCATCAAAACCCTCTCATTTTAGGATTGACCCTGACGATGGGTTCCACTCGATGAGCGCATTGCAGATCTTGAGAGAAACCGTTCGGATTCTTCGGTACAATTCCACCGCGTTTGTACTTATTGCTATTTTGCTAATTTGCCCTGTTTCCGCCGTGTTTCTTTCCAATATGTTGGTTGATGAGTCGATTGTCAAGATGCTGACTATTCGGTTGATTTTAGTTGCCAAGTCCAGTGGGCTCCCGTTGATGCCTATTATCGAACACTCGTGCCAGAGATTTGCAGAGACGATTCTTTCGTCGGCAATGTGCTTTCCTTTGTTCATTACCCTTTCTTTGATATCAAAAGCTGCTGTCGTTCATACGGTGGATTGTACATACGCCAAAAGAAGGTTCGAAGCAGGCCAGTTTTTTGCCTTAGTTCGTAATATATGGAATCGTCTTCTCTCTACGTATGCTTCGGTGTGTCTTGCGATTGTTGGTTGTCTTACGACGTTCTTGGTTCTCCTTGGTGCTGTTTGCAGTACAATTTACGTATTAGGGTTCTCGCCTGATCTAATTGTATCTGCTGCTGTGATTTTGGGACTTATCTTCTCTGTTATTTTTGCTAATGCTGTCATAATCTGCAACATAGCTATTGTTATTTGTGTGTTGGAAAATGTTGCAGGCCCTGGGGCATTGCTTCGGTCGTGTGTCCTAGTCAGGGGTCAGACTCAAGTGGGGCTTTTGATATTTCTGGGATCTACAATTGGGACTGTCTTTGTGGAGGGATTGTTTGAGCACAGGGTTAAAACTCTGAGCTACGGAGATGGGTCTTCCCGGATATGGGAAGGCCCCCTCTTGGTGGTTATGTATTCATTTGTCGTCCTTACTGATTCTATGATGAGTGCAGTTTTTTACTTCAGCTGCAGATCTTCAAGTATGGTGATATCGAATGGTGAACACGATTCGGTTTTGGATATTGAGGATTCTGATGGATCAATTGGTATTCTTTGATTTGATAGTTTCATAGATTGATTAGACACGGAGAACTTGTTTCTAGATGATACCATAGAAGAGATGATAGTGCCGATCAGGAAATTTGTACTTCTTTTATTGTTGCCTTGATTTCCCTTCTGTCAATAGTCACAAAAGATCTGAGATGTTGGGGGAGATTACATCAATACATGCAATGGCAAGAGTCCTGGTATATTCTTACATTTTTTATATAATACTTCATACAAATGGATATATATATTGGCTTCATTAATGAGCATAAGATGCAAAGAAATTGTCTCTCTCTCATGTGAAAAGATTGGGAAAACTCTGGTTGATTGGTTTTCTAATGCAAACAGCCAAGAGGCATATTCTGTGGCAATGCTTGGAATGTAAACAATCATTTGGTGTTGTTTCAGCTCCATTTGTCCCCATTAATTAACTCTCACTCACATGGTGGTCAGAATGTTGAGTTTTGTTCAGGAAAAATGAATATGATAAAGAATGGTGTTGTGTAGTAGAAAGTTGAAGAGAAGTGATGACCAGATTCCTTCTTCAAACATTGTATTCAAGTTGGAGGGCTGTAAATGAGTATAAAGATTTGATGTTCATTTGGAAGAACGGATCGAGTTTCTAGAGGTCGGTTATTCCTTTATTTTGATTATTTCAGAAGAATATTGTCCATTTTAGACACAACCCTGTTCTGTATTTGTTTTGCTCTTTTGTTACTGTTGGAAACTCAAGCGGCATCTATACAAACAATAAGTTATAAATCAATTTCTCTGCCATCTAAAATCTGAGGTTCGGCTTCCAACTTCTGTTCCATTGCTTCTTTGGTTTCTTCTGTTGGCTTGCTTGCTACACTTGCTCTTCTACTTTTCCTTTTTTGCTTTGCCAATTCTTATATAATGGAACGATCTGAGATTTGTTTCTGCGATAATTTGGGTCCATTTTGCGACGTTCCTGCTTTTTTTTTTTCTTCCTTCGTGTTTCTTCATTTTTAATAAAGGAAAAACAGATTGTACGGTCTCAACATCCATGAATTTAAATATGATAAAACAATATTTTTATTTATGTTGTGGGACACATTGGAAATGGAAACAAGAATGAAGAAACTTATTTAGGTTTTTCTAAAATTTCTATTATATTTCTTAAGAAAATTGGAAATGAGAAATAAGAAATAGAAATGTTACCAAACGGATCCTTAGAAACTTTATATATGTAAAACTTTGGATCATTCAATGGATCCTTAAAAACCTTATATATGTAAAACTTTGGATCATTCAGTGGGTACCTAGATTGATCGTTCGACAATAGACAATTCTGGTTGTAGACACAGTTTTGCTGATCTCCTCAGCTATGCGAAAGCTTCAAATATTTGAGTGCATAATTCTGATGAAAGCGCAAGAAAGAGGAAAGAAATAATTGTTCGCCATCAAGTATTAAGTTACCTGAGGGCTTCTTTCTATAAGATCGGGTAGATAAGTAGCTTGACTCGACGGGGAGGGAAAGAGTTTTAAATGAATTTGGGATCATTTCGAAGTATTTTCACCATTTATAAATATATACTTGTTAAAAAAACAAATTGTGTTCTAGATTAAATGGCTTGTATTAAGTACTAGAAATTTTAAAATCTTTTAAATTTCAACTTTAAGAAAAATAATTTTATTTTATCATGAATTAATCTGTTATAAGGTTATTATTAATGGATTTAATTTGCGTTAATATATAAAAATGTAAAAATATAAAACCCTCAAATGGGAAAGTAGAATCTTGCCTTTTCAAAATAATATACTACAATTGATTTGAACTTTAGTATAACTTGCTAATAACTATATTTTATGAACAAATTAAAAAGCCTAGACTTTGTCAAATATTCGATATCACTTGATTTTCATAAATGTTTCAAAAATACCTCAGCGATATCATAAATGTTTCAAAAATACCTTTCAACGAACATTTGTTAATATTTCAACACTTTCATTAAAGCTAAGCTCCTTGGAATAAGTATTTGACAGAAAAATTGTGGAAGAGTTATCRTTTTCAAGAGAGATTTGGACAAAATGGGGTATAATTTGGTTTTTTATTTTTTATTTTTATTTTCCATATAGAAAGGTCACTGGTAGCCCATTGTGTGAGGGTCCAATTAGAATAAATGCGCTTCTGAATCCACTCAAATAACGGGCCTAGAATGGAGTCACAAGAAAGCCCACCATCAGTCCATCCATCATATAAAACTTTTGGGCTTCAGGTCCGAGCCCACAATAGAAGGCCCAGAACAACATCAAACGAAAGAAGATCGACGAGATGCATGGTGCTGTAGTGCTACGCCGCAGCCGCAGGAAGAAGGAAGACCAAAGAAACAAAAGGGGGCGCGTGAATCTAAATCCGGCAGAGGCAGAAGCAGAAGATGCGATAATCTCTGGGATTCGGTGGTGCGATTGGGGAAATGCGATGCAGACCGTTAGATAAGAGAGAGAGTGAGTGATGTGTCCGATCAAATCAGAGGCCACAGGAAAGGACGAAAGCGTCGATTCCATCGGATCGGATTGGATAGGTCTGAAGAAGAGGACGGGACCCCTTTTTTCTGAAAACCGACGCTACGTCACAACAAAATTGAACGTCATGTCGGCAACAGCGAGCTCCCTTGGCCTTGGCCTTGCCTTGGCGCTACGCTACGCAGATGCCGATCTCGGGACCTGCGCCGCCTGATGTAACCGGAGGCTCTGCTGCAGAATAAGGTTCCATCACCGACACAAACGAATCTTAGTTTTTTTTTTTTTTTTACGTTCTATTATTTTACCTCCCTCTTCTTTCAAATCGCCTCGATTTTCGATTTCTTTGTTTAATTGCGAATTTGCGAGCGATCTGTGTTTCGATTTCTGATTTTGATTCTTATGAGTTGACGTGATTGCCCCTCCTATCTGAGAACTTGACCGTTAGTTGAGTTGGGGAAGAACCTCCAGGCTCCACCTCTTATTGAGCCGGTTGAAGAAGACAACGGCGTCCTCTTCTGCACGAATTTCAAGAAACCAAACGAACCCTAATTCCTTCGTCGACTCATTCTCCATAAACCTACAATTTGGATCTAACTGCAAACCCAAATTTCATTAATTAATGAGTTGTACAAATCCGAGTTCTTTCCTTTTGTATTTGATTTGTTAACAGGTGTGTTTCGTTTCAGATTATATATTTAATTTTTTTATTCAAAATATATAAATCTTAGTCAAACACAGTGCTAACGATATCCATTTGATTTTTTAGTAACCAAGAAGGGATTCAAATGCTATGCTCGTGTGTGGAAATCCGTGCAAGTGTTTGAGATTTGTGATAAATGGATAATAATGCAATAGATTTTACATTTTATGTCACCTAAATTTAGTCTTAAAATAAAATTCAATAGGGTATGGATATTTGGAGGTTCTCTCCAAAATGTTTAGTTCGATAACTCGATACTTTTGAGATGGGAAAACTTGTTTGAACAGACAAATTTCTTTGGACGTAGAAATTAGAATAATCATAGATATGTTTGACGGGCATTGATTTCATATCAAATAGAAGTTGTGATGTGACCTGGAATAAAACAAAGCGAAACTCACTAATAAATGAATGCATAAACTATAATGTAAAATTTAAGCGAGTGAAATGTAAACATAATCAGCCTAGACGAGTGCAAATCATCAGTATGCTTGAGATTTATTATGATAATTGAGGTATGCTTTTTTTCTTAGCTTATGTTGTTCTTGCTTGCGTTTCTTTTTCTGTTTTTTTCCTTTTTGGTTTGTTGTCTTTTTGTTTGTTTGTGTTCCTACGTTATTTTTCTTTCAAGTTTCTTCTATCATTTTTGTCAAAAAGAAAAAAATATATATATATTGCCTCCTCGCCTCACCTATCATCACCAATATTTTCCTAACCATTGTTGAAAAATTGGCACATCATTTTTTTTACAAGAAAATTATATTTTTTATATTTATCTCTCTCTGCTGCCAAACAATGATTAATTATGGTTATCATGAACGGTGAGGAGCCAAATATTCTTGTTTTGTCTTGATCTTAGGTACGAATGTTCACGGGACAGGGAGAGACTTCTGCGCCCCCATTTAATTCCCCATCCTYACAAAATTTTGTGGAGATCGGGGTGTGGATTCCTCGGGGAGAATTTGTGGGGATCAGGTCCCCACAGAGTATTTTATCACCATTTCTTTTTTTATTTTTAAAATTATTTTTGAATAAATATATTTTTTCCTAAATGAATTTTTATATAATTGCTTAATTTCTAAAGGTCAAATCCCATTTACAACGTCTAATTCTCCCAAATATATATTAGTATTGGGTGGATGGAAAAGAATGTATGACTTTTTTATTATACCTATATATAAATAGCATAATAAAATTATTTTAGTATGTATAATATATTTTAAAAAATGACGTGGGTCAAGGGACGGGAACATATTCCAATCCTCACACCGATTTAGTTCGACGCGAAATATTTTTTCCCATCCTCACCCAATCGAAAATCTAAACAGTGGTTCCCTGCCTCATTTAGAGCGGTCCTGGTAGTAACGAGCTCCGGGGATAAAATGAATATCCCTAATCTTAGGTCGTGAGATTAAAGTTTTTTTTTTTTCTCCTATGCAGCGTACATAACTTTTGGCGAAAGGGAAAAAAAAGGAATTGATGGGAGTAAAGTAAAGTAAAAGGAGAGGGCCTCGGGGGTCCCATTGGAGCAGGTAGCGAGGGGAGGGGAGGGGAGGATTAGGGTTAGGGTTAGGGTTCAATAAATTTACAGTCTTTGTGTCGCGTGGGATTGAGAGGCCGTGCAGTACTTGCTGACGAAGGGACATTAATGGCGCTAAAAAGCTGTTCCAACTTACAGCACACAAAAGCTCTGCCTTCTGCTCCTCTGTCCTTCCTCCGATAAATAAATAAAACCCATTTCATCTCTCTTTGTTTATTTCCTCTCTACAGACAAAATGGCAACTTCAAAAGTCAGACTTTTCACTTCCCTTTCTCTCTCTCTATTATTCCCATCCTCATGCCCTTTACTTTGTCATTGCATGAATGTGTTATATCACACCATTTCTTCATCCCCAAACTACCCTTCTCCTCTCCCTCTCTCCTCTTTCTTTTCTGGGTCAGTTTGGACAATTTGGATGTGGGAATTGGCTTTTCTCTTTAATCCAAGTCTGGGACTGTGAGGCTCTCTGAATTTGTGACACTTTTTTGCCTCTCTCTCTCTTTTTCATCTCAAAAGTTCTTTTTCTTTTTGTAATTTCTCTCCATCATTATGATAATCTCTTTCCCTCTTCACAGTACCTGATGAACTGCTTTCATTGGGTTACTTTAGAAGCATAATAATAGGGGAATAATTTAGTGGTATGGTAGCAAAACATGGCAGAAAATTAACTTGTCATAAACAAAATTACTGTTACATAGACAGTTTTAATTTCTACAAGATATGATGAATTTTGTTTCTAGGGCCTAGCTTTACAACATCTATGTGCCAGAGTCAACAAGAAAAGTAATGCAGATGGAAATTTCCTGTTTTCACTTTAAACCATATCAATGTCATTTTTAATTCAAGTGTCACTTTTCATTAAGTGTCACTGTCAGATTGAGTCCATTAGAATTTGTTTTCCTAAAGTCTTATCCCCTCCATGTAGATTGTAGATAGTATTATGCAAGAAGCTTCAATTCTTAAATCTTTTCATGGTGGTGGCTTAATTAGCTCTAATTCAGAAGTTTGGATGCAAATTTCATCTATGGCATAAACAATATACATGGATGAAAACAACAAAATTCAACAGTAAAACATGAGTTTCCTGACATTTTCGCTGAGTTTTGGTAGAGGCGTTGTTTTTGGCGGGGCAGCTCGAGAGACAGCAGAAACTCCTCGGGTATGAGCCGTGGAATAATCGGATCGCTCGAGGTAAAGCCTGCCTCTATAGGCAGCTAGATGAGCATAGTAAGCTGGAGGAACTAGTGAAACAGGCTTGGTGCACCTGTTATATGTGTAGCATAAGTTGTAAACCAGTTTCTGTAGTTCATCAGAAGTGAACTGGTTCTCATCACACAGTACATGATAATGTGTAGGCCTACTTGTTCCCTTAACCCCCCAGTGGCTGCAGAGATAGAAATCAAACTCCTTTGGGTGAGTAATCACGGTATCCACAACCGTCCCGGGAGGAATATTTTCATCAAGAACCTCATTTTGATTCGAAGATGGATCAACTTTGAACGGGAACAATCTTGTGTGATGCCTCTTCTGAACCACAGCAAAAGTTATGGGAGGCTTGTAATTGTGGAATCTAGAACAGGCTGTTTTAATAGCCTGCAGCTCCTCTTGAAGCACTTTGAAGAATTGGGTTTCACTCACACCATCTCGGAAGAATATAATTCTCGATGGCAGTTCGTTCACTTCTTGATAAAATTCATCGAGCAGCTCTTCCACCATGGCTCCGAGATCCACAATGATTTCTTGTCTGTGTGTTTGCGATCTCATTCTCGAGACGTACTTGTTTGCGGCAGGCCAATTCATGCTGCCAACCACAGCAGCTATGGAAGGGCTAAAATCATCCAAGGGATGGGGATGAGTTACATCAGCGCCCATAAAGATCACAGGCTTATCGGTTCGAAGCAGTCGGGGTACTTGGGAGGGTAATGAATTGTACAAAGCAACAGTGCAACCTCCAACCTTGGCATTAATCTTAAGAGCCAAATTAGCCAGAAACTGGGAGCTCAATTTGGCAAGATTCGGATAGAGGCAGCATTGGCTTACAATGCCGATGCTCGTCTCGGCAATCCGTTTCAAATCAGCATAGCCTTTGTGTTTCCGCTCCATCACACAGATCAGGAGCTCAAGTTTGTTCGATGCAGCTCCATGAAGCTTCTTAAGCTTTGATTCCAAAATTGAGACGCTGTTAAGCACTTGCGTCGGTTCAAATTGAGGGGGGACAACTGGTTTACTGTTGAGAAAAATGCCTAATTGCTCACATCTTCTAGAGAGCTGGTTTATGAATCTGGGAATGTTCAACCTTTGATCCAGGCTGCCACCGAAACTTATCAATGCCCACCTTTCAATTCTCGTTCCCTCGAAAACGTGGCAATCAACGAGGTTCCACTGTCGGTCATGACGGGAGGGAATGAGGTCACGAATCTGGCCCCCATCGCCAAGCTTTAGCTTGGGAGGTTGAAGAACTCTCCCAGTTAATTTGGTCATTTCCCTAGAAACTTGGAGGCTGAATTCTCTTCCCTGGTTGCCACTGTCAGCCAAAGTAGACAAATGTTATTAGAAAGGAGAAATTGAATTCAAAGCAAATTGAGAATCAAATTGTATTCAAAATCAAACTTCTTTGGAGCTTTCCAAATTTTTACCTTGTTGGCCCAACAGGACCTTGCATGACACCATCTATATTAGCTTTCCTTTCCCTAGGCCTCTGGCAACCCATCTTAAGCATTCTTGCAGTCTGTTCATCAGAGAGCTTCCCAAGAAACCTCTGTCCTTCACAAATCATACAAAGCTCCATAGGAAGATAACATGGTTTACTCCTACTAATCTGCAAACAAGGCAAGTTTCTGAATTGAATCTCATAGTTATAGTGATCCTTGAAGTAACCCACCAATCTAAGATTCTTCCCGTTCCTATCTGCAAACCAGAGACTCTCAGTAGGCTCATCGGTTAAGCCGTAAACTCGATATCTCTGAACACTCTCTCTGTGACAAACAAAAACTCTGATATGCTTCAAAGCCTTCTCCACTTCTCTCCTTTCTTCACAGGTTAGGCCCCTTGTCTTCCTCTGTGAAAGGTCTCTAAGAAAATCAAGGCGTTTCTGTAAATAAGGAATCACTCCAATGCTTTCATGGAAAGCAGTGACAGAGCAATCCACATTCATGGCCAAGCCTTGCTGTGTGGGCCTAAGGCTTTGGAAAAAGCCTCTCAAACCAACTACTCCTCCCCCAATATCTTTTCCCCCCCACATTGAACTTGAATATAGAGATCTTCCCACAGGGAAGCATTTCTCATTTGGGGTCTCCCTCAACACAACATCTAAAGCATGGAGATAATCCTGAGGAATTGGAGTCCAATCATCTCCCTCTTTCGTCAAGTATCGATTCAATTCCATCCCATCAAACTTCGAGACAAGTTTGATACTAATCCGGAAGAGTTTGAACTCCTGCTTATGTTTGATCTCTCCTCCTGTAACTTTCATCTTGTTGGAAGGGATTGGAAGGCTTATATAGAACTCAAGCCTATCCCGAACGAACTCAATTGGGCTGTAAAGATTCTTGCGGCCATCGTAGGCAGGGGAGGCCCCAGAGAGCAAATCAGAGTTGTCCTCCACAAGTTTTTGTTTGATCATTCTGGCAATTTCTTTTGAAGGATTGGGGGAGATTTCCACATTGTAATGACAAATACGTTGTGAAGGGTCAAACTGGACTAAGAAATGGTTAGCTAAGAGAGGAATAAATGGGCCTTCCACTCCTCCAGAATCTGGCCTTCTTGCAGCCACTAATGCCTCTGGTTTACTTTCACTTACTTTTCCATTTTCTCCTTTAAGTGGTAAATTGCTTTTCAGTCGTAGCCCTTTTGGAGCTGAATGCACGTGTTCAACAGAAAGAAGGAAAAAAAACAACAAAAATGTCAGAATGATTACAATCCAGAATCCACCCACTTGAGAAAAAGAGGCCAAAAAACCCCTAATGAGAAAAAACAGAGAAAAGGGAAATAAAGAGAGGGTTATACCTGGAGAAATCTTGATTATTGGAAGATGGGTATCGGAGGGGGCGGCAAGAGGAGGAGTATTGAGCCTGCAGGAAGGTTTCTGGAAGTGGGTTTTTGTAGTTGTTGTTGTATTTGGGGGAAGAGGAGCCAGAGCGAGCTGCAGAGGAATAGGAGGAGGAAGAGGGAGAGGGAGAATAAGTGGGTAGCATCTCTGGAACTGGTTTTGGTTATAAAAAGCATATTGATTTGAGTACTGCCATAGATGGTGGTGCTGATATTGGTGATGAACAACATGATGGTGGTGGTGGTGGTGGTGGTGATGATGATGATGAGGGTTTATTGAGGCTTTGAAACTCCCAGTTTTGCTGTTGCATTTGGTGGTGGCATTGGCCTCTTCTGACTCTTCCATGATTCGATTAAGAGAGAAATGGGTTCATGCGGATGAAAAAGTGCAGAGATACAACAGTTAGAAGAGAGAAAGAAATGGGCTTTGTTCTTTTTTTCTCTTCTCTTCTTCTTATTTCTCTCTATATCCACTGGCAAGTGGCAAGGTATCTCAGTCCCAGCAGGGACTGTAGTTGTTGCAGAGAGAGAGAGAAAAAAAAGGTCTAAGTTTCTTAAGGTTCAATGTGTCTGGGCCTGATGGAGGTTTTATGTTCGTTTGTATGTCTGGAATGGAAAAAGTGGGGAAGTGGGGTCTGGTTTTGGTGTAAATTTAGGGTATAAGTTTTCAAGATGATTTTTTGTTAGGAAAAAAAAGCATCTTTAACATTTTATTAAACCACTCATTTGTTTTTTAGAATTTCTTAAATTGCTTACTGTTGTTGAAAATTTTAAAAAGCTCACCCTTTAGAATTTTAAGCAAACAACACAACTGTGACTTTCTTTTATTGTATTTTGTCAAGTTGGAATATAGACTTGAATAAATAACAGTTTTTGGATGTGAATTATTAATTTGATTTTGAAAATATACAAAGGGTGTGTTGGCATAGAATGGGTAATTTTGAAAAAAGATATTTAATTATAATTGATTTTTTAAAATCATGATACCATAAAAATTAATTTAAAGTGATTTTAAACTTTTTTAAAATCAATTTTTAATTTGCTAAACATGATCTAGGAAAAGATGAGTGATTTTAAAACTTCCCAATACACTCTAACTTTGCTACTCATTCGAGTTGAATGTAATAAAATTACTAACTTTTGAGTGAAAATTTGGGTAGAAATATGAACTTCATTCAAAAACTTCGAGGTCTCCCAAAGCAACATTATTTGCTTGAGGTAATTTTATGTAGCCTTTATTAGTTTATTGTTATGCATAGTGGGGTCAATTCACTATGCCTTGGTAAGAGTTTGTACTTCTCCATTTATTTTAATGAAATTATTTGTACTCATTCTCTAATTGTAACTTAGTTTAACTATATGACCTACAATTGTAGACCTTGACTCAATAATTTTCTGTCATTTTCATTTTTGTCACCAAAGGAGAGAAGTATTATTAAATTTTATTCGGACAAAAATAGAAATATATTATTCATCTCAATTCAAGTTCAAATATAAATGTAAGTATCATATTATACATAAACATCAAAATATAATTAAATTTCAAGGGAATGAAGTGGTATCCTTCAACTTTTGGGTTATTTTGAAATATTATTATTATGTAAATTCGATGAAAGCGTGAATTGATATTCACATCTACATTTTAATATCGTCATTAAGCAACATATTTATTCTTTAAATAAGTTACCAAAGAGAGTGATTTTGAATTATAAAATAATATATATCATCGTATTCAAGGCTTTTAAATTTTGTAAAACAAACTGAACATTTGTAATTTTTATTAATTTAACCAATCATTCACTCCATTGATTTCATATACTTATAAATGTATAAAGATAACCTATTCATTCCCTTCATGATATAAGCTTAAACAACTATTATGTGAGAGAGAGAAAATGGAAAAAGTTAATTTGTCAAAAGGCTTTGTATATGAAATTGGAAAGATAATAATTAACGAAAATAAGTAATTAATAAGTTAGCAATTTAATTTTCTGGGTCAGTGTAGAACAGTGGAATACAAGTAGGAATTGAAAAGCAACAGAATATGTGCAAATGACGAAGAAGACAAGACTGATTTTGACCTTCTAAATTTCTAATCATAATTTGTTATTTGGATTATCACCAATCAAACCGTCCTTATGATGACAAAAGACATCTCTCCATCCTAAATACATACATCTTCAAGGCAAGTGAACAAATCAGAAAAGTAGTTATCTGGTTAGAAACAACACTAACACCAATCTGGTTGTTACTAAAAACAAAATAAAACAAAAGAGAGGTCGGGATGCATGTTCGTTTATTCTTTTTTTAATATAATTAAAAGGTGACAAAAAGGTGTTTCAACTACGACGACAACGATAATGACAGTCTAATTGAAAAGTCCGATGAATAGAGTTCAAATCTTCACGCACATTCGATCGTGTAAAATAAAAATAGAATAGTGGAAGATCATAAGCAAATCTCCACCTTTTTGTGCTCTTTTCTACTACATTTTCCTTGAACACATGATTGGTGGGAGTGAATTGAGGATGAATGGGGCATTCAACGATTGGGAAAGTTGGATCTCCTTTTTCCTTTTTTTGGGTATAAATATATAAAAAAAATATATATCCTTAAGAACATTGTATCTGTACATTGGGACAGTGGTTTAGGAATGGTCAATAAACTTATTCAACTCATCGCATCCACTAATGTCGACAGCTTTTGATTTTTGCCATAAATAATAAACCACCGCCGTCGCCAATTTTTGTGGCTTTCGGTCGGATCAGCCAATATTTTAGGCTTTGGCTGAGTTGACAGGTGAAGTCATTACCAGTCTAAGTCAATCAAATCAATTGAATATGCAGCTTAAGAGCTTTTTTCTGGGCAATAATCACAATTAAGAATACACAAGAAAAGTACCCTATAGTTATTATTACAGGTACTATTTAATTAATCTGTAGGTTATGATAACTTCTAGTGGAAACTAGTGGCCTTCTTTTTCCCGTTTAATCATAGTTTTTGTGCAATGAAAAGACCCAAGTTGGTTCAGTGGAATGATGGAATCCTAGCAAGAGGAAGAGACTAGACATCTTCCAAATCTAACCATGAATTTGGTGGGTAGTGAAGGTAGCAGAAGATCAAACATTATCCTTTAATTTGAACCTCTCCTTTTGAGGGATAAACAAATAAGGTGGCAATCTCAACCACTTGGCCTGATTCTTATAATCTTTGCTTGAATTTGAAGAGGAGAAATTTTGAGCCAAAAGGAGATAAATCTATGGGAAATGATGATGAATTCTTGAGGTTTCACCAATCAATGAGAATCCAAGAAGTGTCAGTTGTAAGATACTTGCACCAATAATACATACATGGTGGGTGGGCGGCTGCCAATTTAGTGGTGTTCCTCATCATAAATAATCATAAGCTTCAACTCAAACTTGAGTAGATCATATCAATTTACAGGCAATACGTCTCTCTCATTAAGAATTTTTTAAAAATGTCTACATCTAATACACTGACGCGATTTGGGTCTTGTTTTTTTGTTCATTTTCAATCTAAAATATTCTACTAAGGGAGAAGAGGAAACAAAACTATCAAAGGGGTATGTATTTTCCATAAGAAGGCATCATACTGGAGAATGGAGAAGATCAGAAGCTTGATTTCACACGTTGAGATGAGGTGGTGCATTATTCAATAGTTTTGATGAATGTAGAAACTCCCACAAGGGGGGAGAGAGAGAGACTTTCTGCATACCTTTTTTCGTAGTGGATTTTGAATATGTAGAACAGAACCTGAGTCAAAGTCAAAGTCAGAAGTACAGGAAAATATGGAAGTGGAAAAACCTACCATCAAAAGTAAGATACATTAGTCCTACGAATAGATTATAGAGATAACTGGTAGATAGGCCTTGGCAGCACAGTTAATATAATAAAGTAGCTATAAATGGATTTTACCTTAACTCTGTTTTTTTTGTAGTAAAAAAAAAACATAACTTAACCCAATTTACTCTGACACCCTTCCCCTCCCCCTGGCCAAAAGAAGACAAAAGTAGAAGTCATTAGGAGGTGGAGTTAGCAATAATGATGTTTTAGACTCATGGAAAAGGAATGGCAATAATGATATGTGAACAGTCAAATCACTGTGGCCCTCATGAATGACTTGAGCTGGCTCATCTAGTTTGCTTTTCTGTCAACTTTGTTTTGCTTCCATAGATTCAGAAATAGTTCAAAAAAGAGAATCCGGTTGAATTAAGAAATGAGAGAGGGAATAAGTTGTTGGGTACTGTTTAGTAAGACTCCATAAGAACAAACACTGCAAATTTAAGCCTTTGTTTCCTTCACGTTGTCCTACTCTTCTTAGTTAATACAAAACTACAGGGAATGCCTCAATAATGCACTAGCCACAGCCAGCAATACTATTCTAATCCAACTGTTTGTTTGGACTTCCAATTACTGTACATAGTAAACAGTATCTCGATGAATAATTTATTTGCCTTTTCTAATATCCAAACATTGGACTATAAATTGAGAATTTCGATAACTTTGTGTAGAATAATAATGACGGATCATGGAAACTCGGAGCCAAGAAAATGGAATTGGCTCGTGGATTCAAGGCTTGGTCCAGGGAATTATTTGAAAACTAAAGGCTGCAGAACCTCAGTTTCTATTATCAGTCATAAATTTATATAGAGAGAGCCTTGCAGGACTATGAATAAAATAAAATAAAATAAAAACTCAATTTCTTTCCAATTTTCAACTCTACTTTATGTTTCAGACCTTCACCCCAGCCTCTAATACTTAGGCTTTTTATTCTTTCAATTGGTGATATGTTACAGAAACTCCAAAACATCCGTGGTACTCAAAGGTTTAATAACATTCTCTATCAACTAAAGAGCAGGTAAGTTTACCTAACCTGATTATATGGAAACTGGCTATAAACGTACATAGTAATACACATCACCACCAATTACTGAAAGATTTATCCATCAAAGTTCTTTAATCTTCTGGAGACATCAGCGGGCGGCTGAGACTGTCGGAATTTGCAGTGAAACTTACAGGCATCAAGGCCGGGTCACTATATGCAGTGACCAAATTGTCTAGAAATTCAGCCATTGCAGGATCATTCTCGTCTTTTCTATCCTTCTTTATCAAAGTCTGGAAACAACGATATGTGGTATCAAATCAGAGATTTGGAGGGCAGAGCATAACAGAAAAATGTGTTAAGCGAAGTTGAAGAAAGAATATTGCAGTAGGTAAACTTACTTCTGCAGAGTAAGCTGAAAAATTGGGTAGGAAGCGTTTCCGACAGTACTCATTAAAAAGAAGCGTTAAAATTGGGAGAGGAACCAATAAACTTGATGCCAGAGGGAGCTTCTTCAGTGTGAATATTCCCACAGCTATAGCATGCATGAGTACTAAAGAAAATATAATGCAACTGTGCGCAATAGGCCAAAACCTCCCCGCAGTTTCATACTTGGGTGCATACACATTGATGAACTGCACATTTAACGTTAAGCAAAAAAGAGTTATTGCCAGGCATATGAGAAGGAACTTCCAGAAAAAGAGAAAATATAGTAGCTAGCCACAAAATAAATATCACAGCTAAAGCACTCATAGAACATTTTCAAAAACTTAATTTATTCTGTACTTCTATTGTTTGTGGAGACAATTATTTTCAGATCCCATACCAAATGACACCTTAAAAAGCTAAATTGAAGCAAAAACATGGAAGACATAATTCTCTGGAAATAAGATTTTATATCATGCTATTCATTTAAGTTCCCATAAGAGAACTAATTTGAAGTTGTTGTATTGGCCATGAACTTGGAGCGTCCTAGGACAGATATGACCTCACCACTTGAAAATATATAAAAATTTAAGAAAATAAGTAGAATGAGATTCTTTAATAAAATGGACAGAAATCTATCTTTCAACATAGACATGTCCTTTTAAATTAAAAAAACAAAAACAAAAAAATAAACTAAACTAAAGAAAAACATAGAAATGGACATTCATCATTAAAAAAAAAAGTATAAACAAGTTAAAATTAACAATATTTCACAGGACAATAATGAAAAGCCTACCAGGCAATCTAAATACATCAAATAATAAAGTTCGGTACAGATGCAAATATATAGGTCACTTGATTTGTCACTTATAACTTATTGCTTGAATCATAGGGGGAAAAGTGACGAACCTGGTTGCGATAAACTATGTATTCAAGACTGAAGTGGACAAGAAGGAAGGGCAAAATAAGTGGAGCTAGGAAGAAATATGTGACACCAAGAAGTACAAAGAAAAGAGTTCTCGGAATGTCACTGTGGTAAGAAATGGATGGAACTTCTTGTTCATCATCTGAATTTCCACTGAAAGGTTTTGTAACAAGACTACGAATAAGAGGGAAGAGGTTGATAAGTTCCGATAGCGAGCTCGTCCATCCCGATGTGACAACATAAGCAATGAAAAATGAGGCCTACAATCAAAATGAAGAGTGAGAAGTATGAAACTCTGTGCCTCATGGTCATAAAGGACAGAGTTTTATGCACAGATGTAGTATTTCTATAACATGCCCAAATTAATCCTTTAATCAACTATGGAATCAATATTAAGGTAATCATAAAATTTCCTCTAAATTTAGGCTTCAGAGAAGTTGTGACAGATACAGGACACATGTCTGCCTAAGATTTACTTTCTGACTCACTTTCCTATGAAGATAAGAACAATTGATATGATTCACAAATAGGAACGTTAAGTTTACCAACTTATGGTTGAAACTTGAAGCTAAGTTTTAAATTGATTGCCCTACAATTTGGTTGGACTTGTACAATAAAGTTCATACAGCATACGAGTTTAACAACCTTGCCTAGCAAATTTAGACATAAACACAAATGTGCCAACTCATCATCCCCAATTTCATTAAATCATATAAGTTTGGGCTTCCAAACATATACAAATGTGACAATTCCAATTCTGTTACTTGTAATTAGATATTAGTTCCTCCACTCAAACTGTTTTCGGCGTTCAATAAAAGCTTCAAAGATAGTATTCATAGGGACACCAGGCTCTACCTGCGCAGGAACTGCCACAGCAAGCCTCCTAGGAATGGTCTTTGGCTCAAAGACCATTGAAAGTTGAAACAGAGCTGTTCCCGAGAAGACAGAAGCAAAGAAAATATTCCATATAGTGAACCACAATACTTTAAAACATGCACTCTTTCTTATTTCACTTAAAGAAATATATCCTTGAATGGATGAGAGATATTCCATAACAGGGGGCACCATCTTCAGAAAGGATTGAAGGATAAGGCTAGGAAGATATCCTGTTATGATTTGACTAATGAATGTTCTGTAATGATAATTAGGGGTTAGACCATCAAAACATCATATAATCCATCGGGAAAAGGTAAATCAAACGCATGAAACATTTAGCATTTATTGATTATCATCACAAAAAAAAAATTATCAACAGGATGATCATTCCAAAACAACAAATAGTTCTCTCGAGGGGGATATATATACGGGGCTTTAGTTGTTGTCTGCTTTTTGTGACTACTCCAGTATCCAAGTATTTGAAACAAAGTACATTTCATGTGAACTAATCACTCATCTGCTACTTATGATGAATCTATACAATTAGGTATCATATAAAAATTGGCTTAGAAGACTTAAACATCAAGTTTCTGACACTGCTTTAAGGAAAGAAATGCTACTTCTAACAAAAGTTAGGTGAAGAGTCACTACTTACATGGTAAGAAAGCCTTTAAGAAAGGGAAACCGGGTTTGCAACTGGTTAAGGTTAGTCAGTCCTTGCACTACGAGAACTGGTATGAAAAATAGTATAGTAAGAAGGAAACATGCAACCGCAACTCCCAGCTTAGAAATCCATCTTTGCATAAATGTTGAAGAAAAGAAAGGCCAATATACATCATGAGGCTCAGGAGCTCGCTCTGTCACCCAATGAATGGGATTATCCGACTGTTGCATGTGCATAGCAATTGCAGCACCATAGCGTGACTTGAAGGATACAAAAGCAGCTGGAACTTCCTTTGGCAATTAAAAAGGAATGTTAGTTCAATTCAATCTATTAAGCACCTTAGCCAAAAGACACTCTCATATTGAACTCTAAAAGCTTGGATGCAGTTCCACAATCCTAAATCCTAGAACATTTGGAATAACAAGAGATATCGACTGACATGCAACTCTCTACCTCTATCACAATGGGGTTAGAACTAAAGTCAATTCTAAAAAACAAATACACAGAAACTTCTGACATAATATAATGGAATCGATCCAATTTAGTCTCGATGAACTCCAAAAGAAGACAATTACCTATTTAAAGAAAAAATGAAAGTGATGATGCTTGATAACCTTAGTGACTTAATTTTAAAAGATTAAAGTGTAGGATAGACTATTAATGGAGGAAATGGATACGGGCATGTATATCAACAACGAGCTTCTCCATTATTATCAATGGCAAACCTAGAGGCAAGTTCACAGCTACCAGAGGCCTAAGACAAGGGGACCCACTCTCCCCTTTCCTCTTCATTATGATCACCGATGTCCTAAGTCATATGCTCACCCATGGAGAAAGTCGAGGCCAAATAGAAGGTTACTCATCTAGATGTGGCTTGATTAACCATCTTCTTTTTGCAGATGACATGCTCCTTTTTACTAGTATGGATCGCTCAAAGATCATGAATCTTCAAAAAATTATCAAATCTTTTGAGGTTGCCTCGGGTCTCAACATCAACTACAACAAATCCGATGTCTATGGAGTCTCCATTGATCCACAGATCACTACTCTCATCGCAAAGGCTTGGGGACGAAAAACAGGCACTTGGCCTTGCAATTATTTGGGTCTCCCCTTAAACGGAAATCCTAGGAAGGACTCCTTTTGGCATCCCATCATCGAAAAATTACAAAATCGGTTGAGCAGATGGAGCAACAACCTTATATCAAAAGGGGGAAGGCACACTATCCTTCAATCTGTTTTATCCAACCTTCCCACTTATTACCTTTCTCTTTTCAGCTTGCCAAGAAAGGTGGCAGACCAAATCAGCAAAATCTTTCGGGATTTCTTATGGGAAGGACCAATTACAAACAGCAAGCCCCATCTTGTTAATTGGAACATGTCCAGCTTCCCTTGATTGATGGTGGCCTGGGCGTTGGCAACATCAAACACAAGAATAATGCTCTGCTCTCCAAGTGGATTTGGCGATTCATAAGCGAGATAAACCACCTTTGGAGGACTTTCATTTCTGCAAAATATATGAGATCTTCCACAGACACTTGGCCCACAATCTACTCAACTGGCTACAAAGGCCCGTGGATATCCATCCAACAACAAACACACTTAATTAAGGACTTTGCTCACTTCAAAGTGGGGGAAGAAAGTCATTGCTGTTTTTGGAGGGATAGATGGCACCCCCCGGGGCCATCAGCCAGTCTTTACCCAAGGCTTTTTGCCCTAACCACAACCAGAGACGCCAGAATTGTTGATCATTGGGATAAGGTTACCTCTTGTTGGGTATATAGCTTCCGTAGACCTTTTAAAGATGAGGAATTCGATGACTGGCTTCAGCTATCACTCTTAATTGATGAAATTGTCCCTTCCCCTGGTGAAGACAACTGGTTTTGGCCTCTTGATCCAAGTAAAGCCTTCACTACCATCTCTGTCTTCAAGCTCCTGTCATCGGTCGGTACCCACAATGGATCCTCCCTTTTCACCACTCTTTGGCAAGGTAAATGTCCCAAAAAGGTTAAGTTTTTCTGCTGGGAACTCAGTCACGAGGCCATGAACACTTTTGATCGAATTCAGAAGAGGCTACCACACATCTCTCTCTCTCTCCAAGTTGCTGCCACCTCTATTTCAGTGCATCAGAGTCAGTGGGACATCTCTTCATCAGCTGCAACTTTGCATCAAAATTTTGGGGACATCTTCTATCTATCTTCGGATGGAAGACAGCTCTTCACAATGTACCATCCATCTTCCTTGACTGTCTCTTGGCTGGCCATCCATTCAAAAAGAACAGAGCTACACTTTGGATCCTGTTCATCAGAGCCTTCCTTTGGAGTTTATGACTTGAAAGGAATAGCAGAGTTTTTAACAACAAATCTGTTTCTTTTGATTCTTTTCTGGATAGAGTGACTGTGCTTGCTCTTGGTTGGTGTAAAAGTTTATATTCATCCTTCACTTCTTACACCCTACCTTTTCATCAATTGGAAGGCATTTTTGTAACTGCCCTTGCATTTTGTATATCTCATATCATCAATGAAATATTCGTTTCTTATAAAATACATACATACATATATATATACATACATATATATATACATACATACATATATATATACATACATATATATATACATACATACATATCTATATACATACATATATATATACATACATACATACATATATATATATATATATATTATCATTCACAGCCAGATTCTAGATAAATTCCATTTTGATTTCACAAATAAACTCACTTGTAAACGTGGCAGTGAATCCATATTTTGGAAGTTGCCTTGCTAACAGGAAAGTTTAGTTTCGGGTAGAAAGTAAAAGTTGTTAGGATTTAGTAGAGAAGGAAAGGCTAGCAAAACTCTTCCCATTGTATTTTCCTTCCTAATCGATGAGATTTTACCCTTGAGCAACCATCATGGATGGCTCATTGGTCCAAAGGGCCTAGGATTAATTAAGAGGGAATGGGTTCAAACTCCATGATGGCCACCTACCTTAGTAATTAGTAATTCCTATGTGTTTCCCGACACCAAATGTTGTAAGATCAAACGGTTGTCCCGTGAGATTAGTCGAGGTGTGCGTAAGCTGGCCCGGACACTCATGAATATCCAAAAAAAAAAAAAAAATTTACCCTTGAACTTTATCATTGTGACATATGGAACCAAAAAATCATCCATGAAATAATTGCAGTAATGCATGAAGCTTTAGTTCTACTTTGACGTTTTATTCATTGTAAACTAGAAAGGTTGCGAACATAGAAGAATACGTTCAAACATTTGCTTTTCAATAGCCATTTGAACTCAAGTCTATTGTCCAGAAGCAGAAAATATCATGGAATAACAACAATTCCTACATGTATGTGGATGTTGATTTCGTAAGTTGTACTTGAACATTTTAGAAACCTTTGGAGATGAATTTCACTATATGCAGGGTGTCCATGGGTGTGATTATGTTGGGGAAACAAATATTTAGCATCTGACCAGGTTGCAAATTAAGGTAAGACCTAAGGGTCCAATCTAATCCCAATGTAAAATTTACGTTGAGTTGGCTCAGGTCATTTACTTTTTAAATTTCATTAGAAAATAGTGAAAATAAGGATTTAGTTACCTGTTTTCACATATAAAATTAGAAAATAGGAGTTCAATATGATGTTTTATTTTATGAAAGCATATAGTCCAAAGGTAGCCCATGAGACAGTTGCTTTCTAATTAAATCACCTTTTCTCAAAAAAAAAAAGGCTTAAACAATTGGAGAGTAAAAAAAAAAATCAAATTGTGGGAGAATTTAATGAATTATATTTTTTTCATAAATTTTTGTTGGTTCATTCAATCCAATTTATTTTAACAGAAGCACGACAAACCCTACCCATATAGCTCAATTAGTTTGTATCCCAAACAAACTGACAACCCAATTAAGTTGATCGTGTTAATCCATCGTCTTTTCTTTTTTCTTTTGGGCACCCTTGATTAGATGTTGCATAACTTCACTCAATTTCCCAAACGTGCCCTTGCTCTCATATATTTTGCAATATCTACCAAATTAATAATACTGTGTATATTATTTTTTAACTCAAATTATCAGGAAAAGATTAGAACTGCATCAAAGAGAAAGAAGCAATTCACAAAGGAAGTGCTTACTTTTCCAGCCAATGAAACCTCCGATTGTTCCAATCTCAGACGCTGTTCAATGTCTCCTAACCTTCTTTCATATCGATCAACAAGGTCATCCTTCCGTCTAAACAATCCAAAACAACTGCCGCGGTTAGGTTGTATTTGAGTGAGATTCGATTGTAAGTGGCCGAGTCTTCCATACATTGTTTTTGCATCATTCTAAAGAACGAAGAGAAAGAAATCAGAAACACAACATATTAAGTGATCATAAGAGCATAGTAAGTGCACCACACAGCCAGCTTTCATATGCAACTTAGACGTAATACATGTAGACAAGGAAATGAACTTGGTTTTCTTGATACAAGTTTATTTCAGCATGTGAGAAAAGAAGAGAAAGAGGGTGTAACATTAGTTTTGACTTTTGAGGCAGAGGCTTACAATGAGACCTCGAAGTTTGCTTGTTCGACGGACAACTGTGTGAGACAGATAAGTTGAAGGGTGGTACTCGGTGAAGAAATGCTCAACACTGTCACTGATGCTTCCCCCAGCAGATGCAGGAATTGCCCGAACTAAGATGGTAAACTGATGAAACAGAGGCTTGGATGAACAAAAATATTCAATCCTTCTTGAAGAAATATACTTGTATTCCTGCAGATTTAAAATTCAAGATTAATCAACTTTGAGCCTTCGAACATATTGTCTTGATCTACAATTAAGTTTTGAGAGATCCCAAGAGTTTGTACATATTGATTAGGTGCAAAACCATGTCCTCTGTAATATCACACTCGAGCAGATTTAAGAAGCTAAGATTTTTTTTTTTTTTTTTTTTGAAAGAAACAATTTTATTGATAACATGAAATTATGAAAGACCCATATAGGGATTAGATGAAGCACTTCCCATTGGCTATAAGGGAAGAGTAACTATAGTGATGGAAAAGAGAAGAGCCTAGATAGGTTGGTTTAAGAAGCTAAGATAATAGGTTGGTTTTCAAAGATGGATCATTCCTTCCTAAATACAACTGTTGATCGCTTTTTTATTGCAGAAATTGTTAAAACCTCATGATTTTCACCAGTATAATATCTGAGGACAGGATGCTAGTCAAGTGGATGCAGAAATATTTATAAGCATATATGCAAAAAAAGCATGTCTTTTACCGGTGTTAGTCACCTACATAATAAAGTAGACAGCAGATATATGCAGTGATAAGATACACAGCTGAAAAGTGGATCCATAACCTGCCAACTAGAAGAAAATGAATTAGTTTTGTGATATTTGCCTGAAAATTAGAACAGTAGAAATTGTAATGATCCAGAAGAATGTGAATTTCAATTTCATTCATCACTAGTCAAGGTATGAACCTAAGAAACAAAATCAGCCAATCCAATACATTTTTCTTTGGCTTCAAAGCAAGCTACCCTTTCTAAGATAAGACCCTTAACATTTTGTGTACATGACTAGTTAAGATTAGGTCAGCACAAATATGGAAAGAAACCCATGACAAATTAGTTCTTTCACTCAGTGATCAAAATAGAATACCAACAATTATGTCGAGAAGAACTTAGTGAACATATTGACAGATTTGTCAACAGATTACCAATATTTCAGTAAATATAGACAAATTTCTTCTTGTTATTTAAAAAAAAAATGAAGGCCAGGAAACTTTTTTTTTATCAATCCAAAAAATGCAGCTAAGTTTTCTCACTTGAGAATTCTATAGTTGGGTACAAGACCTTTGATAGACCATGGGGCATGCTTGACCCTTGCTGAATTAACAATGTCATGCATTAAAACTATGAATAACATTGAAAAAGATCGCTAAATATTCGAGCCTTTCATCCTATCAAGGCAGTAAATAAAAACACAGTCACACCACAGAAAAGCAGACTCTCCATCCCCAAAAGGAAAAATGTAACAAAAATGCACAAAAGAATTAAGAACAAAATAAGAAACCCTAGCCATTAGAACACTCGAAAGCTTTAAAATTCACCACATCAGTACCCCATAGCATCATTAAGGGCATTAACTAAACTAATAATATCAATAATTCATTGAACTGTGTTTAGAAAACCGTAGTCTCTTCCTATTTGCTTTGCAAACATTATAAAAACATATGAAACACCTATCAAAACCCCACACCACTTGCATCATGTCACTTCCTTCCAGATTATGTGTGCGTGGGTGACAGAGAGCTGAAACCATTTGAGCATCAGATCATTTTAATATCTACTCTGAAATTATCTACACATACAAAAATACTGTAATTTAAGCATCCGTTTTATATTAAATATAAAATTGTGATTAGAACATACCAATGTGATCCGTCTTTTACATTGGAAATAGTAAATACATCCAGGGAGTTATTTGAAATATTAACAAGGTCAACATCCTCGAGTTGATCTCCTGAGCAGTTCACTGGAAGAAGAACAAAGATTCCAATGACCCCAGCAAATAAAAGCACTTTAAAACTGCAACATTTTTCCAAAAAGAAAAAAGAGTTAAAAATGTGGTTGAACAGATTTATCGAACAAATGTAGCAGTATAACAAAATATCCAAAAAGACCATAGTTAGAACATGCTATAACACCAATGAAAGAGACTTAATACGGGAAAACTTTTTCTTGACCGAACTTGCATACTCAAGAAGAAAACACAATTTTAATAAATAGGCAATGTTCAATAACATGTAGGAATAATATGCCTGCCCAGACAACGGAGATATTTTTAATATCAATCAAGTAATATGTTTGATCAGAGGTAGAGAAATGACATGGGAGAACATAAAATGAGGAAGAAACAAAAGCAAACCAATGCCTACTGCTGGTCTCACTTCCACATGTTTTTATCCACCAAAAACTGGTAAGAAAGAGAATAGTATAAAAAAAAAGGAAGGGAGTCATCCAATCACAAAAACAAGTAACTCTGCCCAAACATAACTGTACAAAAAATGCACTTGTTTCTATGCTTTCAGTTTTTAGTCTCAGATGGAGCATACACTAAAATGAGCTCCTGCTTTCATAGTTATTTCTACTCCCTACTTCTCGGTAAAAAATCCATAATTCTTTTGCAAACCCTTTTTAGTTCACTTCAAAGAGAATATTGAGAGACAAATTTGTGGTTGATAAAACTGAATTAAAAAAAAAGTCACTCTTAAATCTTAAAACTGAACTAACTGTCTTGAAGAAGCTTAATTACCTGAAAGTTACAATTCGCATAAAAACTACAGCATCCAAGCCTGAAGATGACAAAAGCTCCTCTTCAGAAAGCATCCAAGCTTTTTTCACCCAATTGGGAGAGGGTATTAGTCTTTCTAGATTGAAATCATCTCTCTGTTTAGTTTTTCCTTCAGCCACCAAACGCGGTATGTAGACGCCATAGTAAGCAGGTTGTTTCTTCAATATAGAATACAGCACGAGGAACGACAAACATAAGGCAGAATTTATTCCCACAGACGTCAGGAGTGCAGAAACAATCATTGCTCCAGAAGTAAAATTTGAAGCATCGACAACGATATGCTAATAGTAGTAGAACACCGAACCGCAGAAAAGCAATCGAGAATACTGCCGCTGAACTAAAAACCCAAGTTTCAGGAGACCAAATAAGATATCCACAAATATCTCCGCGCACTATTTCTGCACTTGCAAAGAAGAACTGCTTTGGACTTGAAAGATTTCCGGTTCAACAACTAATCAAATGCACGCATGAACTGAAAAAAACAAATACTAAATGGCAATTCTAAACCAAAGAACAATCCGCAATCGAAAGAGAAAGATAGATACATAGAACTGTAGCAGTATTTCCAGATTTTTCAAATTTAGGGAATTTTCAAGTCCGAGAAGCGAAATACACTTCCATCGTGAAACCATCAAACCGAAAAGGGAAGCAGTAATTGACGAGAAATGACACAAAAATGGTTCCAGAGGGGAATAGAATCTCAAACCTCCAGCAGTCTGGAAAAGCTAACTTCAGCAAGAATGGAATCCGAACTCAATAGAGCATACATAAAGCATCATCCCGCAACACGTTGACGAAGATTCCCTACTCTAATTCCAGTTCATTAGCTTAAACATAAACTAATCACACTTCACTCGATTTTCGAGAATTGAGAACTTGGATGGTACCGTGATAATTTATCGAAAAGCGCGCGATCTGTAAATTTTGACTTACTTTGAAAGAAACAAATTACACGTTAGCTTAGGGATTACGCAAGAAGTATTGACAAGTTCAACCGACAATCAATTACAAGATAGGTTTAATTATAAAATTAACATCCTGATTAGGGCAAAGTTGAACTAGATTTGTAGGGGCCGCGCGAACGCAGGCCCCCGCTGCCACAAATTATGACGTAGGCTCTGCCACTTTGGGCAGACCTTAGGCGGGCACCCCTCCGAAGTGCAATGGAGGTCACCAACCTAGGCCATGAGCCTTGTTGATCGCCCATTGACCCCGTCCAGGTAAGTATGTTTCAGAGGCTGTAGTTCCTTCCTTTATATACTGCTTGAAATGTCATCCCTTCTTGAGCTTTTCCGATGTGGGACGAATTTAGTTTAGCTTCCGCTGTACGTGTAAGTGGGCTTCCGGGCTTTCTTCTTGTGAAAGGTAAATGGGCTCTTTTGGACTTGGACCTAGCGGCATCTTCTTCGTAAATGCAAACTTTTTTAATTATATTGTTTTTTTTAAAGTCGCATTAATTTTCGAGGCACTACAGTTACAGTTGTTCAATAATGTAATGCAAGTGGTGTTCATTATAAATAGATTAAAAATCACATTTGGTCCCTGTACTTTAACTAAAGTAACGATTTAGTTCTTCAAGTTTCAAAAGTAACAATTTAGTCTCTAAATTTTAAAATTGGTTACAATTTAGTCCTTATCGTTAACTATTAGGTTAAATTTAACAGAACTTTGAGATGGCTGTCCTTTGTGGGTTGGTTTAAGATTGGTTTGGTTTAAATTTGGGTTGGTTTAAGAATTAAAAAAGAAGGGGAAAATTAGACCCCTTCCCCACCATTTTCGACGCCTCTCTGCAAAATTTTAGGACTCTCACGGTCAATTTAAAATGGATTCTTTTGCTTCCCTTTTCCCCTTTCCTCTTTCAGGATTTTGCTTCTTTGACCCACCATCCTTAGCCCTTTATCGTTTTCTCATCTCTGTCAAAGAAATTGTTCATTTCCCCCATTGGATTTTTGAGTTTTGGGGTTTTTTCCCTTGCTATTTTAGCTTTTCAGTTGAATTATACACAGTGAGGTTCTTTCCCCAATTTCTGTATCATTTGTAGTCGTACGGTTTTACCTCTATTGATGGCCTGTTGATGTGTCTCTAGCCCTTGAAATTGGTTCAAGTTATGGAGTTCAACGATGAAGGTAGAGATGGGAAAGAAGACGGTTCCCCCAAAGTTCCAGAACCCAAATTACCTTCAGTTATGATTTATTTTATTTTTAAAATAATTTTTTTTATAATTAAAATCAATGAGAGAGAGGACCTTTTCTTGGAACAGTGGCACCAGCCAGTGGAAGAGTCACCGCAATTGCTGAATCCCAAGTTACGGAGGAGGAAAATGAGCAAAAGCTCCATTTGTGGAGTCGAAGAGGAAGATGGAAGAAAAATCGAATCGGTCCTCATTACACTTTGAAAGAACTCTCGATCCTGTTCAGTTTTCTTTTTGTCGTTCCCGACCCTCTGAAATTCGGCAAGAAAGTTCCTGAAATTCTGTAGAGAGGCGTGTAAAATGGTGGGGAAGGGGTTTAATTTTTTCCTTTCTTTTTAATTCTTAAACCAACCCAAATTAAACCAAACCAATCTTAAACCGACCCATAAATGACAGCAATCTCAAAGTTCTGTTAAATTTAACCTAATACCTAACGACAAGGACTAAATTGTAACCAATCTTAAAGTTCAAGGACTAAATTGTTACTTTTGAAAGTTTAGGGATTAAATCGTTACTTTAGTTGAAGTACAGGGACCAAATGTGATTTTTAACCTTATAAATATAAATTTTCAAAACTGTATTTTTCTTTTAAATACTTCTTTTTTTATATAGTTCTAACAACCATTAGGATGAGATTCAAAATTTAGGTGCCTATCTTTTCTTTTCTTTTTTCTTTTTTTTTTAAGTTATTAGGTGTCATCTCGCAATCATTTTGTTTCAATTTTTACATTAAATACTTATGTTTTGCCAAAGCCAGCATAGCTCATGTTCAACTATAATTTGCATCTATTCCAATCAAGAAGTTGTGAATTCGAACCCTCATCCAACATATTGTACTAAAAAAATAAAACATCCATATTTTTTTTTCTTCTCGTATTTTGTTCTTTTTAACTGTTTTCAAAATGTTCCGCCAAAATTTGAAGCATCATCCGAATTCTGTTTTTAGTTGTCATGAATCCAATACAGGGTGTTTTCATATTTTGTGATCAAAGTGGAAAATTTTGAAAACAATGTTTTTATGTTTATGGCGTTTTTTAGATTTTGAAACTTTAAAATACATATTATAAATATAAAAAAACATTGATAAATATATTATTTTATGTTATAAAATAATTTAATTTTTGCCAAATTTGGTCAAGTATAATATATTATAATTATATAATATTGTAAAATAATAATTAACTAAAATTTACCACATATATTATAATAAGTTAATGGGTAATATTTTAGATTGTTGGTAACTACATTAGTTCACAAATATATGGTTGGAGGTGATTTCTCACCAACCATGTGTCAACATTTGATATGGCAGTGATTATGAATCAGAGTAAACTCTAGTAATTAAGTGTGCCTCGAACCTCGCCAGAGAGGCCGAGCCAATCTACCGGAGGTGGTCGCAAGTCATCTTGAAGATGAGCAAACCTATATTCTCCTTGCTCGGTCACTTGAGATATTAGCTTAGTCGAGCTCAAACCTCTACATTGAACATACAAGTTATCAGCAAAGTCGATCAAAAGGCACCCCTCAAAGAACTTCACTCATACACAATCCACGACAACACATCGTGATTCTCAAACTGTCCGAAAACCATGAAACCCTATTGAAAGCTCCATCTATAAATTGAGACTTCCCGCCTCATTTTCAAATACATGAAACTATATTATCTTTCGAGTATAGATCGCTTAGCTATTGACTTGAACGTTGGAGTGTTTATTATTTAATTGCAAGTTTTTTTCTTACTTACATCAGCTCACCTATCGAGTCAATCCTAACTAGAGTCGAGCTTCGCAGGCTTGTTCAACTTAGATGTTCAAGTTGGCAAACGATCATTCTCTTAAATTATATTTGAAAACACGTTTTCGAAAGATTCAAAAGAATTACCTTGCTCAAATGTTCCTGGGGATTGGCAAAAGACTTACGACATGTTTGGTATGTTATAATTTTCAATGTTATTTTTTTTCTTGGATCACGTGATCTAAGTAATGAAAATTAAAAAAACAACATTTCTATCCTTTCAAATTTCGGAATTGAAATTTTAGAATGCACAATTATATAATAAAAAAAGTCGATCAAAACGTTGACAAATATACTATTTCAAGTTATAAATTAATTTTATTTTCTATAAATTAATACATATAAAACATAATATATTACAAATTATATCATAGTGTAAAACTAACGATTCTACGAATTCTATACATACATATATATATTTATATATTACATTAAATTTTATAAAATGTATAACATATATGTTAATAAATTAATTAATAAATATTTAAATGATAACTACCCTTTACAGGTATATTACTAAATCTCTTAAACAATTCTTTATATTAATATTAAAATTTAAAATATACCATTATGCATATATATGAAAATACTAAAAACATGAAATATAATTTTATTTTTCATTAAATTTTAAATAACAAACCAACGGCATTGTTAACTTTCAAACAAACTAAAATATTGTAAGGATCAGACCAAAATGAAAATACGTATCCAAATTCCCAAACAGCTGTCAAATTGTGTCCACTCTTACCTCCAAGAGAAACAAGCCTTTAATTACTTTTACTTCTTAGTGCTTACGTTTGATTTGCTCATTCAAAAATATTTCATGTCGGCCGTTCATTGCAATTGGACACACATTATTGGCACACGCCACGGATGAGAGGATGCTATATTTGACTAGGTCTAACCCTGGCGACGTGGCAGTGGGACCCGACGTGGCAGTTGCCTACGGTCCCAACGCCCAGCGCATCCACACGAAGGAGCGGAACTTAACTGCTAAAACAGATTTTTTACACGATGATATACACTAAAATAATATATTTTTTCAATTACATATTATATAATTTTTAAAAAAGGTTGTCAATATGTGGATAATAATAGTTATTTTTACTACATGACCTGGAGATTTTAATGTCTGTATAAATTATATTCGAATGAGCAGGCACCTTTAAATCTTATTTTATTTTTCTTAAAGGATTTAAATATTACTTTCTAAACTTAAAAATATACTATAATAAATTAATTCATAGCGTGATCGTAAAATATTATGGCAGTATATTACCTAAATATTAAATTAAAATAATTAATAGTAAATACTAAATGATTAAAAGTTTAGAGACTTGTCAACTTATCTTAAAATAGAGTAGCAAGTGGGAGAATCTCTATAAATTTTTATAAAACATACTAATTAAAATAGAGTTGAAAATGTGTAGTACGAAACTTGTAATTTAATAGAATTTTAGATTCTATTTCGAAAGAAAGAAAAAAGAAAAGAAATACCGTTGGTATCATAAAGGACAAAATAGAGCGTAGAGGTTTTACTTTAATGGGAGAAAGATGAATATATTCAGTTGAAAAGGTAAAATCCTTACTTTTTTTCACTTGTTCAGATTCGGGTGTGAGTCGTTCCCATTTTGGCATTTCTTTCTTGACTTTCCCCTCGTACTCACATGATCTTAAATTGCAATTAAGTAATTTTGAAATCCATAATCGAAAAATATCCAGAGTCGCATTCAATCCAATTGGAGTGCAAGTCAAGGAAGAGTTTCGGTTTCTTCCCCCATTCGATCCGATCCAGAAGATCCGAAAATTTTGATCATGAGTTTCGAACCATCCGGAACTGGCGCCCGGTCGCCGTCGCCGGGAAACTCCGGAGCTAAGGGAAGCTCCTCGTCGTCGTCGGGGGTAACCAAGGAGAAGCAGAAGGAGAAAGCGAGAGTTAGTAGAACGTCACTGATATTGTGGCACGCTCACCAAAACGACTCTGGTGCCGTTCGCAAACTCCTCGAGGAGGATCAGTCCCTCGTCCATGCCAGAGATTACGACAGCCGCACCCCTCTCCATGTTGCATCGCTTCATGGCTGGATCGATGTTGCCAAGTGTTTGATTGAACATGGTGCTGATGTCAATGCCCAAGATCGCTGGAAGAACACTGTAAGTTTTGCCTACCTGTTCTTTACGGAAATAATTCTTTATCAGAACTGTTTTCTGTGTTTATATGGTGACTCGATTACTGTTTGACGTCTATTTTACATTGACTCTTCGGTATTTGGTCCGGGTTTGAATTATTTTATGGTAATTGTAGCTGCACGTTTAAATTTCAAGCCAATACGGTAATTCGGCCAGATGTCAAGCGTTGTTTAGTCTGGGCTTGTGGGCATTAGCTTAGAGCGTCTGCGAACAAAATAACTCGGAAAGAAGTCCATCACTGCGTGGTTTTATCCTAATATTGAGCCACATTTCCCCACCCCCATTATTTCTTATGCATTCGCAGTTCTTGGAGTTAAGAAATCTGAATCTTCTGTATATGTGGACGTTCGTAGAAAATGAGTATATGGCAGCAGCTTAAGGGCTTTATGATCGTACCACTCTGGGAATGACTTGCCATACCCGATTTATCTGAACTACTTGCACAGCGTATGATTTATATTTGGTCAACTCTGAAGGATGGATTTTATTTTGCAATTGAGTCATTGCTGTCAAATTGGTCTTGCTCTTTAAATGGAGTTAAACCATTGGCATATATTGCTAGTTTAAAAGAATGTAGTTTTCCTGACTGTATTAGTAAGGAGATATCACGTGTTCAAAATAAGCTTGCTTTCATGTTGACTAGTTATGTACTTTCCCATTGCTTTGCGTGAACGTTTAAAGTTCTATTATTGAGTGCAATAATCGTGTGAATGACTTGCATCATTATCCTCATCAAGGTAGTCTAGCATTTCTTTCAATGCACAAGTATTTACAGTTTGAACTTACAAGGATCCTGTCTTGTCCATGACAGCCGCTAGCTGATGCGGAAGGTGCTAAAAAGCACGGCATGATCGAGTTATTAAAATCTTATGGTGGCCTGTCCTATGTAAGTTGAGAGTTTCCCTTTTGGTTGTTTGTATTAATGTCAGTCTGTGCTTGTGCCAATTGGCTGTGCGAGTGCAATTTAACTTTTATACTATCCGTTCTTCATTACAAGCAGCCACCTCTTCCTTATTTGCTATATCTTGTTGTTACTGTGAAAATCAAGATGCTTCTACTTGCATCCATACTATGTTCACTCATGTCTCATATTACCTGTTATTTTCTACAAGTTTCAATGTCATTACAGTCCTTTTATTTCATTTATATGTTCTATCTCATTTCCTCATCTTATGACTCTACATGTTTTTGACCTGATTGCATTTAAAGACTAAGATATTTCATATTACTCCATGAATATTCCTCTTTTTTCTTTTCTTCATAGGAAAGAGGAGAAACTTTGATGAATGTTATTTTTGACTCCGTGAATATTCTTCACAATTGGGATTTTATTTCTTGGTAATTTCTGCCTCTGAATGAAATTATATGTTGCAGGGCCAAAATGGAAGCCATTTTGAACCGAAGCCCGTTCCTCCCCCTCTGCCGAATAAATGTGACTGGGAAATTGATCCTTCTGAGCTGGATTTTTCAAACTCAGCTATTATTGGCAAGGTACAAATTTATCTTTCTTGAAATTGCAGCAAGTTGGATTTCCACTATCGGGGTAAAATGCTAAAGAGAGATCAATTATGGATTATAAAAAAAAAAAAGGGAACGAACTTCAAGGTTCAAGTTGTCTTGGAACGAATGCCTAAAAAATTCTTCCAGCCAGTTACATTTCCTATATCTTTAACAAGAGGCTGTTTTTCTCATTTTGTTTCCTTTTAATGTGTATTCGAACTAATGCTTGCCTTTTGGTTACACAATTGGAGAAAAAAATTGTCGTCTTAAAATAAAAAACGTCCGAGTCTGATGATAGGTATTCCAGAAACCATTTTAATCCATTTGCCTCGCTGCATGAGTGCTGAGATTGTTAGAATTTACAATATGTCATAATGTCTTAAGTACTTGGTCATTCTGAATCTGTACTGAGATAACTTCAGCTTCATTATCCATTGTCTTTGATAGCTTTCATTTCCTTGACATGGGACATTTTTCTTTGCAATGTTAGGCCGCCATTTATCTTATTTTATCTTTGTTTTGTTTTTTTGTGGTTTGAATCCTTTGTTAGTATGATCCTCTATCCACTTAAGAGAGTTGCTTTCACTTATGAACGTCTGTATTTTGCAGGGGTCCTTCGGTGAAATTTTGAAGGCCTATTGGCGTGGAACACCTGTAGCTGTCAAACGTATTCTTCCATCGCTTTCAGATGATAGACTAGTGATGTAAGATCCAGAAAAATATTTTACTTATAAAACCCTATATGTATAATGTATTCCTAAGGTACAGTAGTGAACCGTACGGAACCTTTCTCTATTTTTATTATATTTCCTGTTGTTTTCCCTTGCAATACAGCTTGAAATCTGATTCCATAGCCACGATATTGACATAATCCCTCAAAACTCTATTTTTTACAGTAAATTAATCTCTGAAGTTTCCTACCACTGTTCTCCATTAGTTTCCATATTAATCTTTTATCTTTTTCTTTAACATATATAAGAACCATTTAAATCTTTACTAAATCAATATGATTGTAGTTAATTATATGCGTTGTCTTTTCTTGTTCAGCCAGGACTTCCGGCATGAGGTTAATCTGTTGGTGAAGCTACGCCACCCTAACATAGTCCAATTTCTTGGAGCTGTCACTGAGAAGAAACCCCTTATGTTAATTACTGAATACTTAAGAGGGGTAACTGATTGAGTTGATTTATGTCACAATTCCACAAATTTTCAGATTATATTCTTTTTAAGTTGTAATTTTCTCATGCTGGTGGTTGACATTATTGTTTCTCTTAGGGTGATCTTCACCAATACCTAAAGGATAAAGGTTCGCTCAGTCCTGCAACAGCCATCAATTTTGCACTGGACATCGCCAGGTAAAAGAATGTGATTCCTCAAAACTCTTGTCAAGAAGAAATAAGATGCCTCAAAGATTGAAAATATAAGAAAAAATCTGAAGATTTTTAAAGTTTTGCATTGGACATTGCAAAATATATGAATGGTGTGCTAATTTGGCTCCTCACTGCTCATAGGAACATGAAAGATCCTTCTCTCCATGGCAGATTGTTATTTCTTTTTAAACTTTGCTGTATCATATGTGGGAAAATTCGTTGGATCTTTCACAAAAACGGTCATACATGATTATCTGAATGTAAAAGACATCGAAAATTTTGCCAATAAGATATAAGATTCTACCCTTTTTTTTTTTGACAAGAAGCAAACTTCTCATTGATAATATGAACTCTACTTCCATAACTATTTTTCTTATTTTGCTTTTTCATAAGTTGAAAGCTAGGCTTCAATATCATGATTCTCGTTTTGCTTGCAAAGTGTTATATGAACCTGACAAGTTGCGATGTTGAATTACTTTGTACCTCTCATATAATGGTTCAACCTATTAGAAAAACTTGATAACATAAATAGAAAGAAACATCCTGCAGCATTGCTTTCTTTGCAAACTCATGCTTCTTTGATGATGCTGTAGGATTAAAACGATTTTTAAAAATTTACTTTATCAAAATGATATCTCCATTATCTAATCTCTAAACTTCCTCAAATTTCCATGGATGGCAGATAATTTATTAGTGAACAATATTATTTGATTGTTCGAGACATTTTACTGATTTCCATGTTGGGCTTTGCCTCGTTTATGGTAGGCTGTATATCATGGTATTTAAAATCACATTGTACTCAAATCTAGAAATTAATTGTCATAAGGATGTAACTCATCTAAAGTTTTAACCAAGTCCAATATTTGCTCCTCAGGAATTTACTAATCGTGCTAATTATTTTGATAATATTTCCTGTTCCAGGGGAATGGCTTATCTCCACAATGAGCCGAATGTTATAATTCACCGTGACCTAAAACCAAGGTGAGTTCTAGACTTTTTATGAGCATGCAAATCTCTATCACACACCAGAAATTTTTTGCCAGGGATTAGCGTCTAAGACTAGAAAAACCAAACGTTCACCAGCTTTCTGCTGTCATTTCGTATTCACTTGATTTTAAAACTAGATTTGGATTGAATTTGCTGTCATCTACTTTTATATTGGAAAAGTATTTTGAAATTACAGGAACGTTCTTTTAGTCAATTCCGGTGCAGACCATCTAAAAGTTGGTGATTTCGGTCTAAGCAAGCTCATCAAAGTTCAGAATTCACATGATGTGTACAAAATGACTGGCGAGACCGGAAGCTGTAAGTGCCTGCGATGCAGTTATTTTCAGTTTTATATAATTTTTTTAATGCTTAAATCTTCTTTATCATGTCGTGCATGTGGAGAAAAGACCGGTATATGGCTCCTGAAGTTTTTAAACACAGGAAATATGATAAGAAGGTGGATGTGTTTTCTTTTGCAATGATATTATATGAGGTAATATTAGCGTTCCCAAGAATATAAGTCAATTTTTATTGCAAGAGACTTCATTTGATTCGCAACAATCTAACTGGTGCAGATGCTTGAGGGAGATCCTCCACTAGCTAATTACGAGCCTTATGAAGCTGCCAAATATGTGGCTGAAGGTCATAGGCCGGTGTTCCGTGCAAAGGGATACCTTCCTGTACTGAGAGAGTGAGTGGTCATTTCTGTTTTACGTTCAACCTAATCATTTAGTTATTTTTCTCACTCAAACTTACCATCCCTCAATGTCACTCCCGGCATTGAGATTGCTTCTTCTCAAGTAAAAAACACTTCCTTTTTAGATCAATTCATGGAGACAGCTTTTCGTTTATTATAAGGGTAAACAGGATGAGGGCGGAAATTACTTGATTCTTCTTTTTCTCCTCTTCTTGGTTTTGATGTTCTCAGGTTAACAGAAGAATGTTGGGCAGCCGACATGAACAAGAGACCTTCTTTCTTGGAAATTCTCAAAAGACTCGAAAAGATCAAGGAAAATCTACCAACTGATCATCACTGGAATTTATTCAATGCATAACATTCAAAGTGATGGTATGATCTAATATGTGAATGAAGTAGTATGCCGTTCCTAACATTCAGCTTTATCCTGCTCAATCATGCCCCTGAAGTTGGAAGGTTTTCACGACTAGCAAAACTTGTGAAAAAGATTTTACGGCTGCTTTCGCTCTGTTCAAATGCTGATTTTGAACAGAGCCTGTGATTTCGATTGAAATTTCTCATTTTTCTTCACCTGCCATCCCAAATCCCCAGTCCTATTTCCCATGGAGGATATTCTTCCAGAATGTGGCCTTCCATGTTTCGTATGATTTAATTGTTTCTTCTCATCTTTCAATTGTAATTTAGTTGTGGTAACGGAGAAAACACAAACATTCTATGTAATTCTACTTCCATGGCTTCTCTGACTCTTGTCTTCTCATGTAAATGATGGATTTAGTTTGTTGGATTTTAAAAAGGACGCCTGAGAAAACTTTTACTAGATTAATTTGGTAATTTACTGTTCCTGCAAGTTCATTTAAAATGAAAGATTATACCATATGGTTGAAGTCCTTGCAAGTTCTGAAGATCAATATGCAGGAAGAAGAGGACGGGGAAATGCACATAACAGTTTATTAATTTTCAGAATAACAGCTTTCGTACTGTGTATATTTAACTGCTCAAATGTCCATGGTTGTCAAGAGGTTTGGCTTTATATTTATTGGATATTATTCAATACAGTTTTCAAATTAAGATAATTATTCAATGCCATATTTATATGGTTAAATTATCATTTGTGTTGGCCTCCAAAAAAAAAATATTATCATTTGTGTTGACGATTTGTGCTTTGGTTCTAGTTTGTAGTATTATTAGATGTTAACAATTATATATATATATATATATATTATATGTCAACTCATTGCCTAAAAGGCTAAAATTACACATAAATGGCGGAAGCGGTAATTTAACCTATTTTCATTTAATTTAGTGTAATATGGGAACAGTTTCAGTTTTTCCTTTTTTGTTTTTTTTTTCCTTTGGGGTTTGAGTCATGCAGGTTACCGGCTCAATTTAACTTTTATAGTTCAATTTAATTTCAACTTATAATTTTTTTTTCGGAGATAAATATTTTAGTGAGTTGAATTATATAAATTAACTAATAAATTAATAATTTGTCTCGATATTATTAGCGCTAATTTGTGTAGCGAGATATTTTCCTCGTTTAATATTTTTTATAGCATGGTGCATATTTTTATGAAACATGTCCCTTTTCAAAAGTATTTTCTACTCGAATTTAAGGCATATATCTCTTCGTAGTTCGATCAGGTTCGAATTTCCACTGCATTTTCCAGCTTTGGTGGCGTCCATGGTGTCTTGTCTTCTGGTAATGGCTGTCACTAATGTCCCATTTACAGGAATTCCGAACCTTAGATATCGATATGTGAATTCATGAAATTCAGTATCTGACAATAGCGATTGCCCCGGGGATCGTGTGATCGTTTGTGTGAGCTTCGAAACCTCTTTCAAGCAATTCAGGTTCATGAGCTTAGCCCATGCATTGTGCCTGCGGCGGAATTTAAATACTTGGTCCAAAAATATTAGCCATGCCGTATTTTCAGATGATCAAAAACTCCTTCTTCTACTCAAATCTTGCAATGGAACTTCTGAGATCTCTCAAATCCACTGCTACATGGTCAAGACTGCTCTTGACCTCGTCCCTTTCACATCGAGCAAACTTCTTGCATCCGCCATACTAGACATCAAGTATGCAGCTTCCATTTTCAGGGATATACGAAACCCGAATCTCTTTATGTTCAATACTCTGCTCAGAGGCTATTCTAATAGCGATGATTCGAGACAAGCTTTTGTTATTTTCAATGACCTTAGAAATCAGAACTTTTTGCCTGATGAGTTTTCTTTCATAACAATTCTGAAAGCTTGTGCTCGAGAATTGGCGATTAATACTGGACAGGGAATTCATGGGATTGTTCATAGGACTGGGCATGGTTTATTCAATCATGTTAACAATGTGCTTCTGCACTTTTACTGTTCGTGTGGCCAAATTGCAGATGCCCGCAAACTGTTTGATGATGTTTCTCAAAGAAATGATTTGGTTTCGTGGAACACTTTGATGAGTGGTTATCTTCATGCGTCTCAGCCCACTGTTGTTTTAGATTTTTTTAGACAAATGTGTGGGAGAGGTTTGATCAGCGTGAATACAGTATTGACTGTTTCATCTGCCGTGGGTGATGCTGGCAATTCCTTGGATGGAAGGTCTCTTCATGGACATTGTATCAAGGTGGGCTTGTGTTCTGGTCTCAGTGTGGTTACTTGTTTAATTGATATGTATGCAAAATTTGGAGATTTAGTATCAGGACAAACTATTTTTGATGAAGTTGCTGAGAAAGATGTAATTCTGTGGAATTGTTTGATAGATAACTATGCTAGAAATGGCATGTTAGAAAAAGCAGTATTTTCACTACATCTCATGAAACTTGAAGGAATAAGACCGAATTCATCCACATTGGCAGGATTACTCTCAGCTTGTGCTACCTTTGGTGTTGTCAGTACGGGTAAATACCTTGGAAATTATGTGGAGGAGGAAGGATTGGCTGTGGATGCTGTTCTTGGAACAGCACTGGTTGATATGTATGCTAAATGTGGGTTTCTAGACAAGGCGATTGACATTTTCGATAAGATAGAGGATAAAGATGTGAAGTCTTGGACGGCCATGATAACTGGTTATGGGGCTCATGGTCAGACAAGGAAGGCTATTCGAACTTTGTATGAGATGGAAGATGAGGGTTTTCAGCCCAATGAAATAACTTTCTTGGCAGTCCTGAACGCATGTAGTCATGGAGGTGTAGTGGTAGAGGGGATGAGATGTTTCAAGAGAATGGTGTATGAATATGGCATGACACCAAAGATTGAGCACTATGGATGTATTATCGATCTTCTTGGTCGTGCGGGGTTGCTGGAGGAAGCTCATAACCTAATCAAGAACCTGCCTTCCAAGGGAGACATTACTGGATGGCGTGCGCTTCTGGCAGCTTGTAGGGTTTATGGAGATGTTGAGCTGGGTGAGTCTGTGAAGAGAATGCTGGTTGATCTAAATGATGAACATCCCACCGATTCAGTGCTTCTTTCTAGTACATATGCCATTGCTGGGAGGCTGTCTGATTATACAAGAACTCAACAAATCAAGGAAGAAAACAGAATGAAAGAAGAAACTAGATCATCTCATATGCAGAATGAGACAGCAAAAAAGGAAGCTGGTCGTAGTATAATTGAGATGGAAAATTTGTGTCAAAACCATTTAGTGTGGAATGTAGGAAATAACTGACCTGTGCATAATTTTAGTATGATGTAAATGACCCAATCTTTGTCTGCTAGAAATTGTCATGATTCCAAGACAGAAATTATATTTACTCTGGTGGAACGTAGTTATGGAAAGAAGGGCGAACGTGTCGGTCAGTCGCCTTAGGTGTACATCAAATAGAGGTGCTTAGTAATTTTCTGTAATTCGTAACCAATTTTTAACTGATTTTTCCTTGATAAAGACACATATAGGATCCAGTAATGGATGGATTCTTGTTAGCTTGATTTTGGCATATGGCATATGCAAGCTGACTAGAGCATAAGGCATGGGATACTTCAAGCCTCCATAAACCAGAAGAGAAAAAAGGTCACTACTGAACTCTACTCTTTCAATTCTGTGAAACTTTCTCCTCCAAATATTATATTTCCCTTTTGATCATTAGTAATTCTTTTTCTATTTGTCCATTGACTCTTCATCAGTAATTATATTTGTAACTTGGCCTAAATTTGAGGCAGGAGCTGCTATATATATAATATATCAACTCCATGGAGAATACTGAATAGCTTCTATTATAAGGGTAACAGAACTCGACCACTCTGCTAAATACCAATATCTTTTGTGTTGAACTTTCTTCAACTTTGGATGACAGAGCACCACTCGGGTTTTGATATGAACTGGAACCACCTCCTTTTAGAGGGTGATTTTGAAAAATCAATTCTACTTCACTAATTCTAGGTAATACCTTAAACAAAAACCACTCTCACAAAATCAATTACTATTTAATATCTTTTGCTTAAATCACCCCTGAAATTATTCTCAAACAGGTACTTAGTATGTTAGATCCTTCTGGTTAAAGACAGCTTCACGAAAATAATAATGTGATCGTTAGATGTATGTGAGGAAAGTCAATGAATATATTTTTTTAACTTACATTTGATAATTATAAAAGTGGTGATTACATTAGACAATTATATATATTTTGGAACATTGGACTAATTCCACGGTAGATACCACTTTAATATTTAATCACGATCTCTCTTGTCAATCCATATCAATAATTTTCAATTATTTTTATCTTCGCCATAAAAAAGTTATAATAAATGGGAAAAAAAAATTTAATATTGCTGATGGGATTACAGGAACTTTCGAGATAAAGTGGCTCCTTCTAACACTATTTATGATTTATTTATTTATTTATTTTAAACTATTGGCTGGTCGCGCAGGTTCTTGAGGTATGGATTTGGAATAAATATGAATTTGTTCTATTGTTTTTATAGAATTTAATCCATTGTTTCTCGTTTTCTTTATCTTGGTTCTATAGATGGTCAATTTTTTTAGAACAATTATATTTGTTTTTTTTAATTACAACTTGTAAATAGTAATTAAATTGGATAGTATATAAGATGATCACAATGGTAGAAAAAAATGTTTGATCCGTTCTTTTTAATTTTAGAAGGCACAAATGAAATTAACATATTTATGCTTTCTAATATCTGTCCATTATTTTTTCAAAGATGATTTGATCGGATAATTTTTAGAAAATATTTGGATGTATAAAAGTCGATGAATAAAAATGTTGCTCTCGATACTCAACTTTTCAAACACAAAAAATGGAGATTTGAATGTTATTGAATTTTGATTAATTACATATAAAAAATAAGAAATGGCTAAGTAAACAAATTTATTTTTTAAAACCTAGAGAATTACTCTTAAATAACTTGAAATTATCAATCTGTAAATTAGTTTTCTCGGGATCCACTTATACAAGACATTGTATTAATTTGTAGATGGTTATCAATCAAAATACACGCAAGCTCACCCGACATGGATATAGAATAAAATAAGGTGTATATCTGTTTTGCTTGGAGAGTAAAAATTGTATTATAAAGTAAATTATATTATGTGTAAAAAATGTAATTTTCTACGGCAGAACCAGTTGTTATAAAAATAAGAGTACATTCGTCCATTTCTTGAGAAAAAATAATAAACTAAAAGCAGTTGAACTTGAATTTGGAGACGATATCTCTGAAAATGGCACAAAAGTATTTAAAAGATATCAGTTTGGTGGACTTTCTCGTTAGCCAAACAAACACTAATCGGTATTTTCCAACTCCCACGTCGATTTGTTCACTTTTTTTCCTTTTTGTTTGAGTTTAAGAAATATAATGGGAAAAGGGAGAAATTTGCGGGAAAGTTTAGAGAGAAGGCATTTATTTAGTTGTTCGGGTTTAATTTGCTTCATTTTTGGCTCGTGAATCGGCTCCTCCACTCCGCTCCGGCACCCCCATCATCTTCTCTGACGAATCCGAATAGCCCGATAGCTGAAGTGGGTTCTGGTTGCCGATTGCCGATTTCCCGATTCAGATTTCTAGGCGTTTCATTTATTGAGATTCTATTTTGGGAGCTGTATCAATTTGCATGATTGCAACAATTTAGTTTATTGTAAGCTGTTCCTTTGCCTGGGTGTTAAGCGGGCTTCAATCCTTGAACGGTGATGCAAATTTGGAAATCTTAAGTGCCGGAATGAATACGTTGAATGCGGGAATTTGTTGGATAGGTGAGGACTTTGAATGAGGCAGCAATGTGGTGTTTAGCGGAGCAATGGAAGTTAGATCTGAGGGTATACAGGTCAGGTGCGATAAACTCCCAGCTCCTGTAATTCCGAGAACCCGTTTGCAGGTTTGGTTTGTTCGTGTCTGCTCCAGCATTTTGCTTTGGACATTTTTGGTTCAGCTCGTAGCATTTGGGAAGCTATGGCATCCGCCTTTTATATCCAATATAACCAATCGAATTTCGCAAGTCACCGGGCTTCCATTTTCTCTACACGTCGAAGAGTCCGTTCAATCGACGCCGCTTCTTCCAGAAAGTGAGTTCCTTAGCCTCAAACCTTTCGTTCCTTCATTGGAGATATTGGGAGGTTGTGTGTTTTTGATAGGTATAATGAGCTATGTATAAATACAATTGTTCTTGCTGGGTGCTAAGTTCTTAACTTTCGAGCATTGCGTGAGGACATGTCTCTACGTTTCATTGTGACCACCGTTCTCATCGGATTGTCTTTGTTTGAAAACGATGCATATAAGGGTAGCCATAACTGGGTTTGATTTATTACGGAATAGGATCAGTGAACTGTTCACCTGGTTCTGGCTGCGTTTTTCCCCATTTCGGGAATTTGTTTAGCTTAAGGGCCTGCACTGTGGAGTTTACTACCACCTCTTCGTTGGTCGATCTTGCTTGGGTTTATGAATATCTGTGAACTTGTTTCCAGTACCACCAATATTCTCAAGTATATCATAAGTTATGGCAATGCTATTACACCATCCTTTACTAATTCTCGGAATTAAATTTATTTTTTGGCTCTCTTCCAATAAAATAAGCGATGGAACTTCATTTGCATCGTTGTTAAACTTCTTGGATAACTCATCCATTACAGTGTGGCTAGTGCCTAACATTTTATTTGGGCTCTAAAATTGTCTCTTCTGCTAACTGCTTCGGGAAGAATTTGACTTCAGACCTCAACTTGTGCAGGAAACTATTCAAGTAATGGTTATCTTCGGGTGTCCTGCAATGGGGGCTTAAATCAAATGCGCGCTGCGGTGTGCACTTTTTGACTTGATTTTTCTTTCCCCACGTCTTCCCAATTTATGCCCATATTATTGTTTGTTCTTTTCCTTGCAAGGATAATATGTTGTACTAATCTAACTAAGCATTTCAGATCTGTGATATGGTGACTGTTGCTCGTCTTTTGAACTTGACATTGGTTGTTCCAGAACTCGATAAAACATCTTTCTGGGCAGACCCTAGGTATGTTCCTTTTCTTGCAATGTGTAACTTGGTTACTTTCTTTTGCAAAGACTTCAGCATATTAAGATATTAACATCGAACTCTCCTGCAGTAATTTTGATGACATATTTAATGTGAGGCATTTTATTGATTCACTGAGGGACGAAGTTCGCATTGTCAGAAGAATACCAAAAAAGTTCAATAGGAAACATGGATTCACACCATTTGCTATGCCTCCTGTTAGCTGGTCAAATGAAAAATATTATTTAGAACAGGTTTGTATTATTTTTTTAAACTTATACCCGTGCTTGTTTTTCATATTACTTCTTAGATGCAAAACTAGGTTCATTGGATGGTGAATCTGTGCTATCACCAAGTTATTTGTCAATACCAATTGATTGCAGCTTTGAGATTATTATCTTTTTGAGTGGATGTTAGGTCTGAATTGAGTCTTCCCTGACTCGGTGGTCTCACTGTTTACTCTGGCATGGAATACTATGAACTTTTTTGTTGCCTTTTCTCGAACCTGGTGAGGGCACCTGTCCCCCCAACTGGAATGTGAAGTGAATCCGTTTCTGGCTACACTAAGAGAGAACAGAATAGGAAATAGATCTCTTAGAGGATTGTTATTGCACCAACGTCGTGCCAACATCTTTCGGAAGTATCACCACCCACCTTGTAAGAAGACCTCCCAGTTACCAGATTCTAAGCACTTAGCAATTGAAGTCTAAGGGCTACAGGAGATACTGTTGGGGCAACGCTTAGTGGACCACCTCATGTCGCTTGTCCCATGGTTTCTAAAGATGGTCTATTGCCCAAACCTACCATAGGGCTGTGTAATCTTTTTACTGAATGATGCAATTTGTGAAGTTTTTAAGGAATAGTTTATGGGTCCATGCAATGTAATCTCATCAAGACATTACATCATGATGAGAACTGATAAATATTTTGGACATATTTCTGAAGTTAGAGTTCTCTGTAAGCTGGATTTCCCTGTTGTATCAGTGAAAATGATGCTTCCAGAAAATTTTGGTTTATTTTTTGTTCTAATAAAAGATTGAAGTAATTGTCTTGGCTAAAGAAAGAGCCAAACGGGTTATTCAGTTTGACCTTTGCATGAAAGTTCTTCTCTGAATGATTATTTTTTCAATATTTGGGGAGAGGGCTGTTTGGAGAAGTGGGTGAAAAGGGGAGTGAATATGATTCTTTTAGTTCTTTGCTTACTTTCTGAAAGAAAAATTTCAGTTATGTCAGTAGAAATAGTTACAGATCACGTGAGGCAAAAACTTTGTGAATAAAAAATACATGAAAAGGGAAAATGCTACATGAACAGGTCGCTCAAGCACTTCCCAGAAAGTGAGTGTTGGTGTTGGACATATTTGGTACATTGGCTTGCCAAAGCATGCAGAGAAAACTGTAGACATGAAATGGTGGGATGTGATTGGGCATGTTTAGGGTGAGAGAGACAGAAAAAAAGTGCGAGATATAAGAGGGAGATGAAACTTAGTCAGAGTTTTGCTTATGCTTGAAGGTTGACATCAATAGGGTGGAGAAAGTATGGAGGGTAGTAGAAAGGGTTAGTCATTTATGCCTGGGGAGGGGGTTTGCTGAAATGAGATGGAACCTAAGAAAAATCCTACATTTTTGTTTTTGTTTTTGTTCGGGGGGGTGGGGGCGGGGGGCGGTGGGGTGGATGTGTTATGGAGCTTGGTAAAGAAACCCGTATGAGACCTACAAATTTGGGAAAGAGGTTGTGATAGCTGTACAGGATGTTCAAGATTGTGTTGAGTAAGTGATGAATCGGTCTAATCGAGTTGGGAGGTGGTTGGTTTAGCAATCACATCAAGAGATAAGAAACCCCAAGTATATTCCTAAAGTTGGGTTGAAGATGGGAGGTTAGGTTGAGACGATGAAACCTCAAACTTGACGGGAAGGGGGCTGGGGGATATTAATATATGAAAATTACAAAATTCTCTGTTAGGTTTAGTCTCCGTTTTTTTAACTCATAGGGTGAATATTTGTAAATTGTAAAGTACCCTAATTTATAGATCTCTATATTTATTATGAAAAAATTGTAATACTTGGTCATAAAGCCTCAACACAACTGACTAACAATATGTTTGAGTAGTACTTGAATGAGACAAAAAAAGTATACTAAGTATATTATGAATGTAACGTAAAATAAAATGCTCATTGAAACATTGAATATAGTTATGTTTTTTACTTTCACGGTGTTTACTTGTTATACAAAAGTATTATAATTATAAGTACATTTAAATAAAGATATAAACATCTTCTCGTGCTCTTATCCACGTCTCTCCATTTTGCCTTTTGACCTCTTAATCTAATGCCTTCAAATTCATTGTGCAGGTTCTTCCTCTCTTTAGGAAGCATACGGTGTTACATTTTAATAAAACAGATACACGCTTGGCAAACAATGGAATCCCATATCATCTACAGAAACTCAGATGTCGTGTCAATTTCCAGGCACTGAAATTTTCCCCCCAGATTGAGACACTGGGTTACAAGTTAATTCGTCTACTTCAAGAAAAGGGACCTGTTGTGGTCTTGCATCTGAGATACGAGATGGATATGCTTGCGTTTTCTGGCTGTACACATGGCTGTACTAAGGAAGAAGCTGATGAGCTCAAGCAGATGAGGTACCCATCCAATCTTTCTTAGAGGTCTAAAATGCTGTTTTAAATGGGTTGATAAGATAGGCATCAGAAGTGTCAAAGTGTTAATCTTATTCCCACTTGTTTTGTTTCCGAATCTTGTATGGGTTATTCTTTTTTTATTTAGATAAGAATTAAATGTTAGTCAGCTTTCCAAACCTCTGCCATCAAGGGACTACGTAAAACACTCCCAATTGAGGTTGATCAAAGAGCTAGTATACTTGAAAAATATCTTGTGTGGAGAATTCTAATTGTGCTGCACAGAATCACCGCAAAAAAAAAAGGGGGGCTTCTATTTTTCATTGAAAAACCTTTGGTTTCTTTCTATCCCAGATTTGGTGTTTACGTTGCTTTTATTCTCTCTAAATATTTTGATCTATATGTTATTATTAAAGATGAATAAACCATCACTCAACCCAAAAGCTTAAGCTGATGGGTTGGGTAAATTTTAATTCATTTATTGGATATCTAATACCCCTCACTCGTGGGCTTGAAAAATTGCAACAAGACCCAACAAGTGGAAATTATAATAAATGGAGAGGAAACAACAATGCAGGATTCGAACATAGGACCTCCCGTTTTGATACCATGTTAAAGATGAATAAACCACCACTCAAGGCAAAAGCTTAAACTGATGGGTCGAGTAAATTTTAATTCATATATTGCAAGCTGATGATTTGGAGAAGCTGCTTAGGTGAAATACTAATATATTATTGAACCTTCATCCAGGTATGCATTCCCTTGGTGGAGGGAGAAGGAGATATTTTCTGAAGAGAGGAGATCACAAGGTCTGTGTCCTCTGACCCCAGAGGAGGCAGCATTGACACTGCAGGCCTTGGGTTTTAACAAGGAGACGCAGATATATATTGCAGCCGGAGAAATTTATGGTAGTGAACGAAGACTTGCAACTCTTAGGGCAGCCTTTCCACTGATTGTGAGTACTAGCATAATATCTTGAGTTCAAATTTCCACCTTCTGATGTAACTTTATTTGAAATAAGTCTGTGAGGCAATTGGCTGGAACTCAGACGACTTTATAGTATTATGATGATGTCATCTGCATGAATTTCCACCTTCTGGCGTAACCCATTTTGAAAATCTGTGAAGAAAAATTGGCTGAAACTTCTAACCATCATGACATTCTGGGAACTCTTTGCCAGAAAAGTGAAGAAATTTCTGTTCCTGGCCACTTTCAAGTAGTAAAAAATGTTGAAGTATTGATAAAAGATTATATTTATCGTAATCCATTGGCTACACCTTTTGGATTAAGTGATAGTTTAATATGGTACTAGAGTAGGAGGCTCTGATAACCATTTGTTTGGCTCTGTACAAATTTTCAAGTCCAGGAAATATTGATAAAAAATTAAATTTACTCTGATCCATCAACTTAAGCTCTTTGGTTCAGTTGTGTAATAAAAAAAAGTTGTTTTAATGTGTTCACTACCATGGATGTTAATTTTTCTGAGATTCATTGCCCTATTGTGATCAGGTGAAAAAGGAAACATTGCTATCCCCAGAAGAATTGCAGCTATTTCGAAATCATTCGTCTCAAATGGCAGCTTTAGATTTTATGGTTTCAGTAGCCAGTAACACTTTCATTCCTACCTATGATGGTAACATGGCAAGACTTGTTGAAGGTCACCGCAGGTATGCTACATCATCTCTCATCTCTCACTACACGATTATCGTTTTCCTCTAATTTTATTATCCTTGAACATATAGCATCTAAATTCCCATCTGAGGTTTTTCAAAACTCTTCTGATCTTCTGATAAAAAAACTCTCTTCTGATCTAATTTATACTGCTCACAGATACCTGGGGTTTAAGAGAACAATAACACTGGACAGAAAAAAGCTAGTGGAATTACTGGATATGCATCAGAACAGTACACTTCCTTGGGATGACTTTGCAGCTGCAGTAAGATCTGCGCATGAGAAAAGGCAGGGACAGCCAATGCAACGTAGAGCAATTCCAGACAAGCCAAAGGAAGAAGATTACTTCTATGCAAATCCTCATGAATGCTTCTGCGAGGGAGCAAACTGCAACGACTCGCTAAGCCATAGTAACTCAAGTAAACTACTCTAACTGCCACTGGCCAAATCAAGAATCACCTTCCATGGCATTCCAGGGGGAATTTTCCACTTCAATGTGGTGAGAAAATCGTCTCGCTTTCATTGCACATCACCCGGTTATGTCGATATTCAACCCTAAGAGTTTTATACAAAGCAATATGAATAAGATCCTTCAGAATTCTCCCTTGGACATCCAAGCATTTGTTTATATAATTTATTTGTTTGATGTAATTTCTATCCTGCTATAAAAATGTTATCATTTGTATCAGATGTGAGATGTCAACAATTTTTCCAGATGCTTATTAGAGCTGTTCGAGGTATGGCTTAATGCTTGCTTCTACACTAACACTGCATAACCTGTCTTTCTTTTGTTTGCTCAAAATTGAAATCCCTGCAGTCAATTAAAAAAGGGACCAACACAAGTACAAAAGTGTAGAAATTTCAACTCTGGGAGTAATTTGTTATGGTTTTTCAAGGATTATGCTATTACCAATTATTATTTAATTATGGTGGTTAATTGCATTTTATCTTGGAAGTAATGATTATGTCATGCTTAGACATATTAAAACAGGTATTAGTTCTTAACTTGGAATAAAAAATTGCTGACTTTGAGTACATTATTTTATCTTCCTTCCCCACAGAAGTGGTAACGGTCTAATTATGTTGTTAGGCTACTAAAAGCTGAAGGAGGAGAAAATCCTGAATCATATTGGACATTTTGCTTCCATTTTCTGTCCCAGAAACAGGTAAAAATAAGGGAAAAACATTACATGGTAACCAAGTTCAATTTTACTGTAGCTGCTTTCTGTCATTTTCCAGGAAATTTCTACTCATCACAAGCAAGAATGTGCCTACAATTTTTTATTCTGCACCGTACAGCAGGGAAAGCAGCCATTGGTCTAACTCTAACTAAACCCCATTGTTCTGATTCAAAGAACACTGTCAATCAGTGAAAAGTATGCAGGGTTGATTTCTGCCATCTTCGTCAACATTTGATAACAGAAGCTGAGGGTTTTGGAAAATTCTGACAAGGTAACGAAACTGTTTAGGAACAAGTCCAGTTTTTGGGATGAAAATTGAAAACAAACGGCCACGACTCTATTTTATTATGTCAATGAATTGGTGGGATTTGGAGATTGGAAAGGAAATATGGCTGTTTCTTTTGGTTTGTAAATTGTAAGTGGGCATTAAAATATAGCAGCCGTGAGCTTTGAAACTGAAACGATGACCAGAGAGAAGACCAGAAAGACTTGGGTGTGGACTCATTAATTAAAAAAAAAACCATGCATGGACATGTACTCCTTTGAAATCATTCCAACTTCAATCCTATTGACCATTTTAGATTCACCCCTCTTCTATTTCTACCACGTGATCTTGTTTTGCCTAACATTATTATTTACTTTTATAAAATTTAAGGTCAGCAAGGTTCTTGTTTCCGTTTTCAGTTTTTGAGAAATTTAATCGCTTGATAAGTGTCTATGTTCCTCGTTTCTTATTAAGAAAGGTTTTTAAAATTGTGTTGAAATTTTGGAAATAATAAAATCAAGTTTCTTGTTTTTCATGTTTCCAAAAACATTACTTTATTTTATCTTTCTTTTTTACTTAATATAATACATAATAAGTATTAAAAAATTGTTTTTCATATTTAAAAGCTGCTTTCTATTTTAAAAATCTAGAGATCGAGGAAACAAAAAATGGTAAACAAACATGTTTCTACTACTTTTTTCAATCGTTACCAACCGTAGTTCTACTTTTATTTATGAAGAGAAATGAAAATTTTACCAAAAAGACCCTTATGTATAATTCTTATTAGTTAGGGGTATTGCATATCATATATTTATAGATTTTTATTCTTTGTCTATATTGTGCATTAATTAAATAGTAATTTATAATCCATGTGGGCGATTCAAGAACTAATTTATGATAAAATTGTTGGTAATGTAAAAGTATATATGTTTTCATCAATCATATCATATATATGTTTGATTCATTTTTCCATTGCATATATAGTTTAATAAAAGAAAGATTCTGGCTCAAAAAAAAAAAAAGATTCTATTTCAAAATAATAATAATAAATAAATAAATAAAAGAAAGATTAAAGTAGTTTGAAATTTAAATATTATATTTCATACCACCATGTTCTTTTATTTATTTATTATTATTATTATTATTATTATATTTTGAGAATCGTAGCACCGTGTTTTCCTTTTTCATGTTAATATACATTTTATAATATTATATCATGAAGTACTAAAAAAAATATAATATTATATCATAACACAATAACTTAATTGTAATTTGTACAATTCTATCCAATATATTCACTACTTACAATTAGTTTAAAGTTTAGAATTGAGATATTTATATTAATTCGAAATTGATTTTAAAGTATGAAAATTTTATTGTCAAGGAAAAAAAGTTTATCCAACCGAACGACATTTATATAAATAGAAAATAGTTTTTTTTAGTACAACACGTGAGAATGATCGAACCCACTTGGAGATATATATCAATTACAGTTGGGTTATGTTCACTTTGACAAATAAAAAATAGAGGTCGGAGATTCAAGTGTGTTTGATTTAAATTTTTGCTCCATAGTGACATATGGTTAATACAATTTCTAGAAGAGGACAATAAAATAGGAAGAGAGAAAATTTGTATGTCATCTTTGAGACATTGAAGTTTTTTTTCAAGAGTAGAATCCTTATTGAATATATATTTTTCTTCTTTATTTCTTATTTCTTTTTTTTTTTTAAGATAAAAATGACTTTATCATTAAGACCTTGTCATTAATCAACCATTCAAATATACCCTTAGAAAAATCATACTAAAATAATACTAAAAAATTGGGAAGATGATAACGGCTCGAGGCAAATACTTTCTTTTTTTAAAGAAAATTATTTCTCATCAATTTAACAGTCTAAAATTTTCGACACATTATTCTTATTATACCAAAACATAATCTCTTTAAGGTATATCAAATAAATCTCGAGTAAGGTAAATTGAATGAAATAATATTTACATTTTTAGAAAATTGTTAAAAAATTAAATGACTACCTATACACACGAAAGAAAGGGACAATTACAAATATGTCAAAAAAATTTTTTAGTAAAATTAGTAAAATAACAACTCTGTTTAGTTTTTTTTTTTCAAATATAGCACTAAAATGGAGGTCCAATTTTACAATTACAACTTTACCCAAATGATATAATATATATATGTATGTATACATTTGATATACTATTAATATGTTTGTAATATGTATGTGATATAAGTCTGATATACAACTAATATGAACGTTTGTGTAATATGTATGTGATATACATTTAATAATAAGTATTTTATATACTACTTGTATAAGATTTTTTTTTATATATTTGAAAATTTTAAAAATAGGTGACATATTTAAAAATACATAAAAAATTTTTGCTGTAATGCAATTTCTTTAAAGGGAACACTATTATTAACCCCGTACTTTTAAAGGAAGTTCTTATTTAAAGAGTATTTATGTATAATAGATTTACAGAGTTAGATTTACTGAAAAAAAAATTGATTATTATGACATATATACACATGTCATACATGATGACAATATTATATTTTATAATTAAGTTATTGATTGCTCACTGATTAATATAATAAAAATGTGATAATCTCATAGTATGAACTGATCAACACATCCACATTTCAATCTAATGGGATATAAAATAAAGTTATTCAAAATGATCAATCAAATCAAGCAACAAAATTAAAGGTGTTGAATTTGAGGGCATTTCCACACTTGGACTGTGAACTCAAACCAACCCCAAAGAATGCCAAAAAAGATTTACTTCTTAGAAATTTCGAGACACACAAAAAAGTTTTAAACCATGTCAAAAAAGGTGGTAGAAATAAATAATCATATCCCAGCTTTTGGAAAATGCCAAGAGACTTTTTGTTTGGCACAAAATTGACCTATTGAAAAAGGGGTTCTTTTTATTTTTTTCCAAATGTACTTAAAAAATAAAAACAAACCCTCTAGGATAGTTTGAAAACAATAGTGACAAAATAATAATAAAGTATGTTATAAAGAAAATAATAGGATAGTTTTACCAATAGATATATTGCGTGCCAATTAAATACTGGTGCAAATTTTATCAATCGATATTAATATATTTTAAGTTACCTTATAAAAATTGATTGCTTTAGATGATATATATATATATATATGTCTTAATGATCAAATATTAAGTTATGCATAAACTAGCTCACATAGTCGAGTTATTTTGGCCAATATTTCTGCTAAATAAATCAAGTTTAGAAAACATGATTATCAACCTAATAAAAACTATCCTAATGTTCTGTTAAATTAATTATTAACCATTATTTCCAGAAACGGTGAAAACCAGAGAAAGAGATGGGGGCTATTTAAAGTTTGACTGAGTCAACATCATATTTTATTTTTTGGTCCAAAACGTGAACCTCTAGTAGACACATGTACTTTATGAAAATTGAAAGATCTTGCCTTTGAATTTTCTATTCTAATTCTAAGAATGGCATCTTAATGCTTTTTACTTTCGACTAAGATACATAAAATAATGGTCATTACGTGTAGATGCCATATTGAAAACTGATTTATCTTATCATTAAGTCTTTGTTAATTATATATTTAATAATTTTCATTAACGAGAATCAAACACAAATCTATATGTCGAAGACAAATCTTTTACTGTGCTCCTTTGATTAATCTATCTGATTGACATAGTCTATGTGTTATTGATCCTTCCATAATGGATGCTTTTTTTGGAAGGAAAAAAAAATCAGTCAATGTTTTGGATTCTTGTTTGGTTTTATCTTTTCTCAGTTGCATGAGATTAAAAATTTCTTTTTAGTCTCTATAATTTGATTATTTGAAAAAAATAAGCTTATAAACCTTATGTGATTTACTTTACACATGTCTAGAGGGAAGATTTTAACCTATAATCAAATTTGCTTTCTTATTATCAAGACGAACATATACTTTAGCGGTAAAAATATATATTCCTCAATCTTCTTGAAATTGGAGATTCAAATCGAGCAATACTTAGATCACTGGAGCACTAGTTTTGTGGTGAACATCAATAAAAATTGTTCTAATGATGGTGGGTGGGCAGCAAAATGACTCGTTTAATAACGTTTTCATTTCTTGTTCCTCATTTCTAATTTTATTAACTATTTAACAACTATTTATGTTTATTGTTTCTATTTTTTAGAATATTCTCAAAATTATATAGAAGTTTTGGAAACGACGAAAAAAAGTTTCGTTTCTCGTTCACGTACTCAATTTGTTACAACAGAAATAAAAATTTCGTTTATTCATATTCTTGAACCCATTGGTGTAATTGGAGGGCTATGAAATTCTATTTTTCCTTATTAGAAACGAGTAAACTAGAAACGAAAATGATACTGATTAATATTTTCCTTTTGTAAAAGAAATTTGCTTGGTTTCTATTCTCTTCTCCCTCCCCGTATTGCATGACGTGTTATTTTCCTCCCACTGTTTGGTTTGAAATTTGAGGCAAAACAAACAAATTATATTGCAGTGAATACAAATCAAACCAAAAGAAAGAAAACGCCACCAAACTTTTGAAATGTCTCTTTCATACTCGGAATATTTGATCTATAAATACCCAGTAATCCTCTCTGCAAATCATTTTCCCCTCATAAAAACACAACACATCATCACCAGCTGCGAAAAATGAAGTTTGGGAAGCAATTTACGGCTCAGATGGTCCCGGAGTGGCGAGAAGCGTACATGGACTACGATTTTCTCAAGTCCCTTCTGAAGCAAATCGATAGCTTCAACCGAACCCACGCCCGGAACCACCCCTCCACCCATTCCGGCCAACTCCGACGGACCCTCACTCTCTACAGAGCCTTCAGCGGCCTCACGCTCCGCCACAGCCACAGCCATGGTCACGCCCACAGCCACGTCCACTCCCACGCCCAAAACAGCAACCCCACAAGTCCAGGTTCTTACACTGCCACTAAATCGAATGACTTATGTTTTAATATATTCATATTGTCCAAAATTTAATCTTTTATTCGTGTTCTCAATGTGCATGCAGCTTCACCGCAAGATGTGGAAGAACAAGCGATTCTAGTGAACACAGTGAACCGAGACGGGACAAGAAAGTACAAGACGACGTTTCTAATGGCGGACGAGGAAGGGGGAGAGTACGAACTTGTATACTTTAGATCGTTGGATCGAGAGTTCAATAAAGTAGACAAATTCTACAAGTCAAAAGTGGAGGAGGTTGTGAAGGAGGCCACCCTCTTGAACAAGCAAATGGATGCTTTGATTGCTTTCCGAATCAAAGTGGAGAATCCTCACGGCGTTTGGGATTTCTCCGGCGACCGCTCCGAGGAGATCACAAGGTTGGCCACCGACATTGCTGTTTCAACTGCTGCCTTGTCTTCTTCCACCCCATCTGGGGTCCGGGCCAGCAGTAAGTTTTATTTAATGTGTGGGTTAATTATTGGTAAACTAAAAAACTTTAAACTTTACCTAGCTAGTGTGATTTACTTTATAACTTAGTTTATTTTCTTTTTCTGTTTTTAAGTTTGTCAAATTTTTTACTAGCAGCATGCTCTGTTCCATGCTTCGGATTTTGAAAGGAATTCAAAATCATGCCGTGGTCAGCATTTTATAGACTTTCGAAGTAAATTATCTATATAATCTTATCAAATCTTAATTTCTGATTAATAAATTTATTTTCTTTTCATTTTCTGTGAACATCGAAATCTAATCTATTTCGTTTTAAATCATTATCGTTCCAAACAGATAAAAAATTTAAAATCATTTCTCGATTTCAAATCACAAAATTTAAAATCATTTCTTTAACTACTTTCTCGATGCCAAAGATAATAAATTAAATTTATTCAAATCGTCTTGTACTTTAACTGTTCAAATTCTGTGCTATTGTTTTTCAAAAATTTTAGTAGGACCCACTTATTTAAATAAAGCAATAAAAATACACCATAACAAGGTCACTAACCTCTTGTGGGTTTGAAAGTTACCACAAAAACCAACCAATGATCCTACTAATATTAACTGGAAAGGGAGGAAATGATTGAGATTGAATATATATATATATATATATATATATATATATATATATATATAACCTTTGAAATGGTAATCTATATAATATGACAAAGATTTGCATGAAAAAGATGATTACTTTTTCGATGTATAAATAGGATATGGTTTAAATCTGAGATGGKTGTCAATAAATTTGAAAATTACCCAGCATTAACATGTGCAGCAGGTTTCATTTACACACACAAATTGTTATTATTTATGAGCAGGAAGGGTTCACATCGCCATGGATTCCATAGAAGAAGGTGAAGGTGGATCCAGCCACAATGGTCCACTACATTCTGAATCATTAAGTAAAGATGGTGAGAAGAATAAGGAAAACAATAATAATAAAGGGAAGGTTGAAGAAGAAGAAAAAGATAAGGCAATGGCAACGAAGATGAAGGCCAATAGGCCACCTCCACTTGAACTTCTGGATCATGTGAAAATGAACACAACTCTAGAGACCCCTCGCTCCACCATTAAAGGCCTTCTTAATTTCCCCAAGAACTCTGAACTTCAATTCAACAAAGAAAATCTCAACAGAATCGAGAACCAGCTCAAGAAGGCTTTCGTAGTCTTTTACCACAAGCTTCGCCTACTCAAGAGCTACAGGTAATTCAAGCTTATACTTTTTTGTTCTTCAACTGTTAGAGAGTAAATTTCTACCTTTTGAACTCTGTTACTATATTAATATTTATGAGTTCCATTTCAAAACCAAACCAATTGAGAAGAGTTATGTCTATTATAACTATTGTTAGGTCATTTATTTTTTCAATGTGAAATCTTTAACATGATATCTATTAGATAAACATAATTTTGAAAGTTCAATTACTCGTTATGAATCTTTAAAAGTACGTAGAGGAGTTAATAGATACAAATTTAATGATATAAACTTATAATTTTACATATTCTTTTTTCTTCATTGTAACGTGGAAAATATGTCTAAATTTGCTATGATTGAAACAGCTTCCTGAATACTTTGGCATTTTCGAAGATAATGAAGAAATATGATAAGGTAAATATTTATATTCTATGTTATTTTATGAGCTATATAAGAGGCATAATATTTGAGCTCGGAGCTCTAATTTGAGACCATATTATGTGAAAATGATGGCTGCAGATTACTTCAAGAAATGCAGGAAAGTCATACATGAAGATGGTGGACAGTTCTTATCTTGGAAGTTCTGATGAGGTTGGAATATTTATTTAGTGATCTTTACCTTGAATTTTCAAAATCCCAAACCTCATAATATTTTTAATTGATAGAATATAGAATGGAATGTATTTAAATCATATTTTTTTCAAACAAGATATTCAAAGAGAGTGAAAATTATCTCAACTTCATTCCACCTACTACACATTAATTATATTATATATATATAATTGCCTACAATTTTCAAAATCAAATCTTTTTAATTTCAAAAATCATGATTTTACTTTGTCAATTTTTTCTTCTTATTTTATCCTTAAGAATAAATATGCTACCATTGCATTGAACATAACAGCCCAATTTTGATGTGGAAAAAGGTAAAACAAAACATGTCAAAATATAAACTTCAAAAATACTCAAATGATGGATATGATTTGTAATTTTTCAAGTCATTATTTTAATAATTGATCTTAAAATACGTGAAAAGACATATCCCAATTAATAATAATGACCGATATTCGGAATATAGTTTGACATCTCTATCTTTTCTAAAAGATCGTGAATTTATCTCTACATCCCATATTTGTGATTTAATATTAAAAAAAGAGGTGGGAATAATATCTCGAGCTTGCTCTAAACTAACATTATTTGCATTAATTAAACCAGGTTTCCAAGTTAATGGAGAGGGTTGAAGCTGCATTTATCAAACACTTCTGCAACGCTAATCGCACCAAAGGAATGAACATCTTGAGACCCAAAGCTAAGAAAGAAAGACACAGAACTACATTTTCAGTCGGTAAGCCCCTCATGAATTCTCTTTATTTCTTACATTTTTCCAATACAAAGAATTCCCTTCATTGATGTTTGGTTCGACTTTGGAACAAATATTTCAGGTTTCTTTGCTGGCTGCACCATTGCTCTTGTAGTGGCCCTCATTTTTATTACACGAGCCCGACATATACTTGACAAAGAAGGCGGTACTCAGTACATGGAAACCATGTTTCCCCTTTACAGGTAACTTAAAAGCTCGTTTGATAGCATTCCTGAATTTTGTTTTTTCTGTAGAAACTGTCATTTTAACTCGTTTCTCTGCTTATTGAATGCAGCTTGTTTGGATTCGTGGTCTTGCACTTGCTAATGTATGCAGCAAATATATACTTTTGGAGGCGATACCAAGTCAATTATTCCTTCATATTTGGCTTCAAGCAAGGAACTGAGTTGTCCTACCGTGATGTTCTGCTTCCCAGTTTTGCTGTGGCAGCTCTTGCTTTAGCCTGTGTTCTTTCGAACCTCGACATGGAGATGGACCCTGAAACGAAGCCATATCAAGCAGTGACTGAACTTCTCCCTCTGGTTTTGCTCCTTGTAAGATTGGCCTCACATAAATCTATTCATTTGGCCATAAAGCCAATAACTTCAGCCTAAGAATGTAGTACTGTTTCTCCTGCTTGCAGCTTGTGATTGCAGTCTTCTTATGTCCATTCAACATCTTATATCGCTCGAGTCGCTTCTTCTGCATGAGAACTCTATATCATTGTATCTGTGCTCCCCTCTTCATGGTAAGAAAAATGAGAATAGACTTTTTCTTTTTGAGAATATAGCATTACAAATTCTACGGTGGAGATTCTTCAACTTATACAATAGATTGTTGATGCCTTGATCGTTAAACTATGCTCGATGACGAGAATAAACTTGCAGGATGTTGATATTGGACTAATTTTGGGTACTTTTCTTCTTTCTGCAGGTCATCTTCCCGGATTTCTTCTTGGCAGATCAGTTAACCAGCCAGGTTAGTTACATGACATCAGGCTTTTCTTTCTTTATACCACAAGGTTTTTCAATTCAAGCAATTACCAATAGCTTAGAGCCTCAAACAAATACTCTAAATCGATTTAGGTGCAAGCACTTCGAAGCCTCGAATTCTACATTTGCTACTACGGTTGGGGAGATTACAAGCATCGACGAAACACTTGTAGAACAAACACTGTATTCAACACTTTCAGTTTCATCATTGCTGTTATTCCATACTGGTCACGTCTCCTTCAGGTTTGAATCTCATCTACCAAACCTTTCAGCTCCGTTTTAAGCAGTAAAAGTTATCTCTAACAGAAGAACTTTTGTTGGTCTCTCACTCAAACAGTGTCTTAGGCGACTGTACGAGGAAAAAGACGCGATGCAGGGATATAATGGTGTGAAGTACTTCTTGACAATAGTAGCAGTTTGCTTGAGGACAGCTTACAGTCTGAATAAGGGAATAAGCTGGAAAATCGTAGCTGCAGTTTTCTCGGCTGTGGCTGCCATCATCAGCACATATTGGGACATTGCCATCGACTGGGGCCTCCTGCAACGGCATTCGAAGAATCGCTGGTTGCGAGATAAGCTTCTAGTCGGTCACAATAGTGTTTACTATGCGGCAATGGTGAGTTTCCCAGAGGGATTCTTTGCTAAAAACAAGTTATGATCCACAGGACACTCTTTCAAGTATTCTGAACAAGTTGTGATCAAATGCAGGTCTTGAATGTTTTGCTGAGGTTTGCTTGGCTGCAAACTGTGTTGGATTTCCAGTTCTCCTTCCTGCACACACAAGGCTTGATTACAATAGTTGCCAGCCTCGAGATCATTCGTCGTGGCATATGGAATTTCTTCAGGTACGACATTCTCTTCTTGAACTACCTGGAAGAATCGTACAACTTCTTTCTGAAATYTTAAGTGGTTTATTGATTTATCCATTGGCCTTTTGAATTAGGTTGGAGAATGAGCATCTGAACAATGTTGGAAAGTACCGAGCATTTAAATCTGTACCGCTGCCTTTCAACTATGATGAAGATGATGACAAAGATGACTGAAGTTCAACATACATTAGTTCAATTGTTTCTAAACATTAACAAACATTTTTTACGGTATATATATATATATTTTTTGTATAATTGGGAGTCGGAGCTTTGCTCTCCTATACCCAAGAGCATCTGTAAGGCCCAGACCCAAGATACATCAAAGGTTTTTGGTATTAAGCTTACCAAAAGGTTCGAACTTGAGACCTCTAGGCCATGGTATATATAAAGTAACACATCGTTCCAATATCCTTATTCTAATTTCCTCATAATTCCAATTCCAATGGAATAATACCAGGCTTTCACACATGGCACTTACCCATATACACACAAGAATGGCTCAAAGAATTCAGTTCAACAGTGTAATTTTATCTCATAAACCATTTCAAAAGCATCATAAAAGATGGCAGAGGATGTAATTCAACCATATTGCACCAAGCTTCAGAATAATTCAGAAGAAAATGTTATATTGTAGAGCTGTAAATAATTTACCCAAATGAGAAGGTAAATAAAGCCAAAACGAGCATAACTCAACAGTAATTGACATATATCTCAAATCAAGATGTTATGAGTTCAATTTCCCGCTCCTACATGTTGTACTAAAAAAAAAAGTGATTTTAAAAAAAAATTGAGAAGGTAAATAATATATTAGATTACCCACAGCGTTCTATTAGGAGCCTATCTAATGAGTGATCAGCCTTTTTTATCGTAAAAGATCTGTGCTTTGGAGCTCAATCRTACCAAGTTTCACACACGTGCAGTATGCACAATGACACGATCTCAAGTTCTCAACCGGAGAAAAATGTGACAAGGAACCTGAAGAGCACTATCACCCTTTCCATATGGGACTTTGCAGATAAATAATACCAAGTTTACAAACAAATAGTGTTTTGACATCACTATTTGCATGCCTAAAGATGTGGAAGGCTGGATTTTAGAATGTTTTYACAGGTGGCATTTCATAGGAAAGATTAGAGTTTTGTGGAAATGTGCTTTTAGAGCTCTTTTATGGAACATTTGGCTGGAAAGGAATTCACGCYCCTTTGAAGATAATTCTGAGTCATGAGATTCTTTTTGTAATAGTGTGCAGGTTTTAGCTTCTTGGTGGTGCACAAGAAATACGAAATTCTTTTGTAATTGTAGCCTCTCCTTGATTTTACAAGATTGGAAAGTTTTTTTGTGATTAGCTTGCTTTTCGGAGGGGGCTGCCTTGACCCTTGTCCGTAGGTTGTACTGCTCTTTTGTTCTTAATAAAATGTTTCTTACCCAAAAAAAAGTTTACAAACAAATACACACAGCCTCAAAGAATGTGTTATGAGGAGCCTAAAGAGCAATATCAGCATTTACATGCAGGACCTGTGATCTACAGCTGAAGTAAAAACCACGAGCACATTTGCATCTGCATGCCATCAATTTACGACTCAAAGCTTTCCATTGAATAGTTCAATAACCTTAGATCATCACCATCCATCTCAAAGCATCCTTAAAAAATAGCATAGGATGGACCTCAAGACTCGAGATTATTGCACCTATCTTCAATATACATCTGAAATAAAATATTAGACTGCAATGCATCAAAGCAAACCCTATGATACACCTCAAGGTATTTGTGGGGCACTGCTATTGCTTCGGGAACAAAAACACTGGCTTACTATGGTCCATATCATTAATATCCACCTCTAATATCCCAAGAATTTGAAAGACAAAATTTGGAAGTAACGATAAAGTTGACTGATCCATCTTGCAAGTTTGAAAGAGAGTATGCCCATGTAGATCTTTTCTGAGCAATCAGGAAAGTTCCCCATCTGGTAAATTTGATCTCACTCACACAACAAATAGTACTGGTTCTATGCTAATTAAACATAATTCCTCTTGATATAATTCATAGTAACAGCCTAATTGGCAATAGATTAAATCGTTTAAGTAAACATGCAAGGTCCAAATCCCAAACTCCAGTTACCCTTGAAAGAGGAAAAATAAGGGAAATTCTTGGTCAAGCTTTCCCTGATTTTATTTAATATTCTGTTGTCTTATAAGTTCAATACTTGTCATTAAGATGTAATCACAATAATATCAGAATGAAGAATTTTTACATTCATTTRTATAAAGTCTACAAGGCACTATCATTATCTATCACCTTTTTAGATAAGAACCATCATTAACCATAACAAAATGGACTAAGCAGATCACGAAAGCTACTTTCTTTCATATATGTGGATGTTCAAGCTAGCTTAAACATACCTTAACAAATATCATGAGACAACCACATAATCATACTATATAGTCTATATTTGGTTGCCAAAGAAACTCGTAAGATATTAAATTCTASGTATATGGCCATTATGAAATATCAACAAAGCTACTAAAAGTCCCATATCTATATCCCAGGTGTGTTCAAGTAATATGAAGAAGGATTAGAAAGATCCTATACTGAATCATACACCATATTCTCATAGCAGCCAATATTTGCTCCAGACAAAAAATTCGAATCATTTGCCCCAAAGGAGAAAGGACAAACCAATGGTTTAATTTGAAAATGGCCTAACAGTAACGACCTTTCACATGTGACAACCATAAATAACATGAAAGCAGAACTTATAACCGAGTTATTTATAATTCTAAATCGCAAAGTATGGTTGGCCTTCAAACACACTCGGTGAGACTTAATTTCCACGCCACAAACAGGACACCAACAAATCATCAGATTAGTTTGCAACAAAGTCCAAATGAAAAGTTAGACCACACAATTTTCATACATATAACCCAGAAAGTTTCTAAAAGGGAAAAAAAGGATCACACATTATAGTTGATAGGTAATGATATTTTGCCAACCTTTCCAACTATAGTTGGAAGGGAGAATTCAAATGGAGCCTCTATCTAAATGACAAAGAAAGCATTAGGGAAGATGATTCTTGAAAAAATGATATTAGCCAATAGTGACAAGAACAATTATTCAGAAATTTGAATTAAATAAAAAAGTGGTATAAGGTAAGAACTCTCCTTTCCTATGATACTTCGAAATAGACTATCATCTATCGGTGTACTAAGACAAAAAGTTCAAGGAAGATATCTTCCACAGACTGCTAAAAGAGAGATTAAAACTAAAATACTCCAAAAAAGTAATGCTTTCCGCCTCAGAAATCAGATCTAACGAGCAGCAACCAAATTCACTTACCACCAGCAGAAGCCTTCTGTTCTTCTGAATTCTCGGAACCCACATTTACCTCCGGGCCTCTGGAATTCATATTTTGCTGCGTAGCATTTGAAGCCAGTTCCTTCTCCAATTCGATAATCGCCTCCTCCTCTGCCACTTTCTCGGCCTTGAGAATCGGCGCGTAATAATCCGCATGAGCCTCCATACACTTCTTCAGAGCCCCAGTCACTTCAAAGCACTTCTCCACAATATCCTCCTTGTTCTTCTCCGCCTCCTCAATGCACTTCTCCCAATCCATGAAGCTATCTCTGCAACCGCCCCCTTTCATGAACAAGCAAAACCCACACTCCCCCTCCTCCTCCTCTTCCTCCTCCGCTAGATCCTCCCCTCCTTCATCATCACCCCCGCTCTCGGGTATCTTTCCAGACTCCGCGGAATTTTTTTCTTCTTGGACAATGTTAGAACCAATTGGGGCTTGATCCTCAAGGGTTTTAGAGGSGGCGGCGTTTGATTCTGAGGCTTGGAGTTTCGACTCCGAAGTGGACATCCTTGTGGGTGCCGGAGGAGTCGTCGGATTCGCAGCTGACTCTGTAAGTGGCGGCGGCGTTAGATTCTGAGGCGGAATTGTTTGTGGTTTCACCGCCGGCTTAAACCCCAAAAAGCCAAAACCCTCTGGAATAATGAAATGAAATGAGTACAGGCCACAGGGATTCCCCTTTTTCCCCTTCCTTGTGGCGGAAGTTAAAACGAAGGTCAAAGATGGGAATTGGGAGCTGAGCTGACTACAAATTTAATAAAGTTTCAGAAAAATAGGAAAAACTGTAATTTTACTTGGTGTGAACTTAACTTGTTTTGATCCATAAAATTTAAATAATTACAGCTCAAATATCGGATTTCAAAATAGACTTTTGGTTTATATTACAAAATTTTTTTAAGAAAAATATGTAAAAATTTATAATTTATAATGGAAGGTTTAAAAATTGAAGCACTCAAATAGTATAAGATATCGATATTCATATCATGTCTATTATATTAATAACATATGATAGTCAAAAACAAACTACCATTGAGCTAAGTTCATGTTTGCATCAAATTAGGTATATTATTGATATATCAAGTATATGACAAATTATCGTTGAGCTAAACTCATGTTGGCATCAAATTAAGTATATTAGTRRTATATCAAATATAAAATTGTTTGAAAGCGTCCCTTTGACAAATGTAAATATAGTGAAAGTGAAGTATGAATTCGATTCTCACCCCACCGCGTTGTACTTAAAAAGAAGAAAATTATACAAAATCTCCCACCAAGATTATTTCTTGCCACTCATAGCCTCTAATATTTGCAACTTATGCCATTTTTTCCTCTATTTCTTTTTTGTTTGTAACATTATAAATTTTTAATAGGAAGCTTCGCATAATCAATCCTTTTATAATGTAATGTTCTCTCTGTATTAAAAATATAAATAAAAATAAACCCCTCAACTACCCTTTGTTAAGAAGTAAAAATGTAATGACAAAGGCTTTGCTTGTGCCTTAAGTTGACAAGTACCATGGCATATGAAGTCTCTAACTTCAATTTTCTTTTCTCCTCTTCTTCTTTTCTCCTCTTCTTCTGTCTCTTCTCTCAATCGTCCTTGTCAGTATCATCGTCGGAGTAGCTGAACGGAAGTGGAACCGACTTGAAGGATCGATACTTATTGACGTTGTTCAGATGCTCGTTTTCCAAACTGATCAAATGCATAATTGTTATGGAACCTTCAATGTCAACTTAAAATCAAGGCCAAAACCAAAACATTGTGCTGCTCTATATGTTTCAGAATTCAGCTCACATGGCTTCAAGACAAGATTTCAATTTGATCTAAAATGTTGAGGACAGGCTTTTGTAGCAATAGGAAATAATTACCTGAAGAAGTTCCAGAGACCGCGGCGAACGATTTCCAAGCAAGATATCAATGCAGTGGCTGCAACCTTTTGAAACGAGTGCAAGTTGAATGYTAACACCAATTGTATCCAAGCAATTCTCAATAGTATATTCAATATCTATKCAAAATCCCACAGAAATATATTGGATTAGTTTAGTCAAGGGCAGAGAGCGTAAACGATCTGCTCGAGCTGACTTACCATGGCTGCAAAATAGATGCGCTTGTTCGCCACTAAAAGTCGGTCTCTCAAGTACTTGTTCTTTGAGTGCTTTCGTAGAAGTCCCCAGTCAACAACAATGTCCCAGTATGTATTGATCAACATGGCAACTGCTGAGCTAATCAAGGCTAACACCATCGAGGTAACTCCCTTTCTTAGTTCAAAAGCAGTTCTAATAAGGACTGCAACAATCGTCGATAGGTATTTCAAAGCATTGCAGCCGTGCATTGCATCTTTTTCTTCAACTAATCRASGGATGCACTACATAACCACACACCACTTTTGTTAATTGCTTTTTACGCATTTGCGTATGCATGAAAATGAATTGATGATTGAGGATATCAGAATGTGAGATAACCATTTGCAACTTAACTGAATCTCTTCTGGGAAGTAGAAATAAAACTGAAGGCTAATATTTTCCGCTCAAGGTGTTGAAAGTATATGAAACAAATCAAGGTCTCAATAAAAAACATCAGCAAATATTGCACAAGTTTGATCAATTTCAGCCATAAAGTTCCTATGAAACATAAGTACATATCTGGTTACGACGAAACAGCATAAGAAACAACAGCACTGGTCAGCTTAACTTATTCTAGTTTTTGTTACTAACTTTGTTTTAAATTTTTTGTTTACTAACTTTGACAAAATGAATCACTGTTGAAGTTACTAAAATAACCACAATAAGCAAAAGAATGTAAGATCTTGTATATATATATTTTTACTAACTTTGACAAAAAAGAATCACTGTTGAAGTTACTAAATAACCACAATAAGCAAAAGAATGTCATATCATGCCTGTAAGAACCGCAGCCAAAATGGTACAACAGCAATAATGAAGGAGAGCGTGTTGTAGACGCCACGTGTGTGGCACTTGTCTTGCTTCCTCGAGTATTCTCCTAAACCATAATAGCAAATATACAGCACTATACATCGTGAAGCTTGGACCTGAAATCATTAGCAGCAAAGAACTCAATTACAAAAAAGTTAACAACAATCTTTCATCATACCGAGAAATTATTTAAATGTAGAACCTGACTAGTAAGCTGATCTGCCAAGAAATAATCAGGAAACCTAACCTGCAAGAGAGTCGTCAAGAGCAGCATAATCTCAGCTTTGTCAGTTACTTATCAAYGATTTGACTCAYCTCAATTTTATTACCTTGCACAGAGGAGCACATATACAGCGTAAAATACAACGGAAAAAGAAAAAACTGCTCGACTTGTATAGAATGTTGAATGGGCAAAAGATGACGAGAAGAATAAGCTGCACAAAGGAAGAAACTACTGASACAGAGAATATTGTACAAAGAGGCATTGGGAGAAAGGGAAACTATAGTATATTTATGGAAGTTGTAAATAAAATTGGTACGCAGTAATTTTATATGTTCCAGTGATCTTACTGCTATTGTGCCTAAAGGAACCTTCTCTGCTTCTGTTCTATACTTTCGAGTACTGTGGTCCTGGTCCAAGTATAAGCTTGCCAGGAAGCTGGCTGTTGCAAGTACTGCAAGACCAGAACCAAGCAGGAAAACCCCTTGACAACCTAATTCAGTTCCTCGCTTGGAACCAAAGATAAACGGATAGTTAACTCGACAACGTCTCCAGAAGTGTAAGTCTGCTGCATATATGAGCACATGTAGGACCATATAGCCAAATAGACTGCAAGATAAACCAGTAGCATCTCAAAGAAAACTTCTGGTGGAGTGGAGCTACATACTAGTATCTATCGGTAGATACGTGTATAAACTATAGGACACTATAACTACCTGTAAAGTGGAAATATATTCTCCATATAATGAGTGCCATCTTCCCTCTCCATCAATTTTTGAGATACTATTTTCAAAATAGTTGCTGCAAGTAGTGCCACTGTGCAACCAGATAGGAARCCTGAAAATAAGGTAAGGAAATGAATCTAATCAATGAGTCTGGGGAATTGCAAACATGATTATCAACGCTACCCTTGAAAACAAAATAGTTCAGACTTCTGTTAATGTCTGCTTYTGTTTTAAGCGAGAGCTTGAGAAGGAAAACAGAATCACCTGAAGAAAATGTCACGCTGTGTTTTTCTCTTTTAGTTTTTGGCTTCAAAAGCTTCATACCTTCTTTATAGTTTGAGTTTGAAAAGTTCTTGATGAAGGTAATTTCCACCATTTTCATGAGATCAGCTACCTAGTTCAAAAACAAACCAACATCAACTGGAACATAATAAGATAAAGAAGAAGTCGGAGGCGAATATCACATTTTGGTCAAAGGTTTACAAAGATGAGCGCTGGAAAAATTAATCAGTTATGAAGATGCAAGACCAAATTGAACTGCATCCATGATGTCTGGAGAACGTTTTAATGATCATTGGTAAATGCTGACTAATTGAATTTGAAGTAAATCAGCCGTGTTGTAGTGGACAAGGCCAACAAATTTCCATCAATATCAACCATTATATGAATAGAATCATATTCATACGCTATTAGAAGCCTGCATCATTTGCTGAGAACTCGAAGATATAAAATAATGTTAACAACACTAAAATAATACCTCATCAGAACTTCCAAGATATGAATCATCCRCGATTTCCATGTATGACCTGGCTGCCGTCTTTGATGAAATCTGTACCCAAATCAAGCAGGAAAAGTAACCACGAATATAGATCATATAAATATCTGGAACTTAAGAAATATTACTCTACTTTGTAAAAGATAATCCAAGAATTAAAATAAATATACTGCTACTGATTCAATGCCAGACCTTCTCATACTTTTTCATGATTCKCGCAAATGCTGACAGGTTCATAAAACTGGTTCATCCAATTTCAAGAGTATAAACACATGATGAATGGTTTAATTACACAAATAACAGCATATGGTAATTATGCAATCTKCATTGAAGCATTCCGTATACCTGTATTGCTTTAACAAATGAAGCTTCTGGTAAAATTCAGCATATGCCTTTTTCAACTGTTCTTCAATCTTTCTTTGGTCATCTTTATTGACATCCAAGTCGCCCTCTTTAGAATTCTTGAAAATACCTTTCACTATGGATTTACGTGAGCGGACTTGCACATGCTTAAGAATTTCTAGAGCATATTGGTYGTCGTCCTTTGCTGTCATTTCTTCTACATATTCATTGCTACATACTGCTGTGTGAACTTGATCCAGTTCTGAACCCCAATTAGACCCTCTTGGCTCATGTTTATGATTAGTATCCACTTCAACTGCTGAATCCTTCTGCGCGCTTCCTTCAAATAAACATTARGTTATAAAACTTACCATCAAAAGTTCAGTGTATCTCATAGATTGACCTTCATATAAGTAAAGCATCCATGTACCTGAAGGGCAAGCCGTATGCAATGCCATCAAAGTTTCCATTTGTTTATTTAGAACACTTGCTTCTTCAGTTACAGCCTCTATATTCTCCTTGTAGAAGGAATTGACCTTGTTGAGCTCTTCATCAAGTTTTCTAAAAAAGGTCACCTCAATCTCTGATATATCACGGAACTTCAGTTGTGTGGAAACATGTTGCCGTGATTTGTCAATATCTCCGGCCACTTGGTTCTCAATATCCTTGTTTCTTSGTTGAGAGGCTAATTCACTACATTTGCTGTCAATTTTTGGCTTCTTTTTTGAGTGGCCAGAGGATGCTTTAGACTTGTTAATCTGTTTCTGGCAGGAAATTTCACGCAATAACCTTTTGAGGCCATTATAATCCATATAATTGTCCGTCCATTCAGGCACCATTTGTTTCTTGAATTCATTCTCAAATTTCATCCTTGGTGTTTCTTTAAATGCCACTCAAGCTCTTCCTATTCCTCTACCATGTAAAAAGTAGAGTCTCAAACTAGAAGGCTGCTAAACAAGCCTTATGATATATGTGTGTGGGGAATTTTGTATTTTTTTCCCATCTTGTTTAGTACAGASACTCAAAATCAGTCCGCAAATTCAAGTCTTCAGCAGAAAAGGAGGACCAACTGTTAGTTGTAAGTTTTCCTAACAATCTACAACTCATTGCTGAGCTGAGGAACATCATAAAGTTATCAAAAGAACATGAAAACCAAATAATTTAACTTACCCTGTTCAACTTCCTTTATTTCTCATTTCAAACCCAAAGCCTTCTCTTCCCCAGAATCTAGCTCGTATTGTTCTCCAAGTCTTCAACCAAAAGAGAAAAAATTTACAGCCGAAATTTTAATTTGAGACTGAGAGGTGAGGTGTAAGTGGGTTTGTTTTAAGTTGACAGGTGGCCTCCTCAAGTTCAGGAAAAATGGAGGAAAAGAAGGGAAATTTCAGCTGAATTTGATACAAGTGATGAGTGGAACATTGTGCATGGGGAATATGTTCCTAGAAATTGACAGGTGGCTAAGGAGGTTTTTTWAAGGAAAAATACTCTGAGATCAATGTGATGGCTGGGAGTGGAAAGAAACAGAAACTCACAGGGAGAAGGGGAGAGAAAAACAAATGGAACTCTTGTGAGAAGAAGTTCCTAAAGCTGGAAGGATTGTGAATATCATAGTCCATAGACTGAAGATTTAGTAAAGTATTATAGAGATTGATTGAAAATTTATTGTGGAGAAACAGAATTCAAATGGTACATTTGYGAGTTCTGTTTCTTATACCCATTATAGAGACTGGTTTTAGTGTAGATTTTTCTTTAATTAACTAACTAATTGAACTTTCATCCTTTATATGTACATATATAGTTTGACTTCAGAATCTCAGAATCTTTGTAAAATGTGTGGGCTAGTATCCAGCTTGGTACGTTGTATATTTGTATTAAGTGTAGGAATTGTAGTTGTATAAAGGACTATGATTTACATTGCATGTTATCTTTCAAAAGTTAATGATGGTTAAAAAATAAGTTTCATAACATGGCGTTGCTGGTTAATTTGGGGTGTGACCCAATTGGTCATTTTTAAATAATAYCACCGTGGCATACAATAAATGACAATAGTATCTATACTAGAGTAGTATGAGAAATTTTTTTGACACGATAAGCCACATCCACATTTGTCCACATTTTCATCAATGTCAGCCATGGGACAGGGCAGCGACAGCCCAGGGTTGAGTGACGGTGGTGGAGAAGATACATACATTGTCACTATGGCAAGATACATACATTGTCACCATGGCAATCGCTGGCACTAGAGTCGTATGATAAATTTTTTCGGCACTKAAAGCCATTGTCACCATGGCAATCACAGGCATCCTCATCTGAAGTCTTCAATCGGATCGGAATTAACTTTTTTTATTGGGAAAGCAAAAGATACTGAAGTCTGCTGGTGAAGTACAAAGCAAGGATGAGCTCAAAAGCTAATTGATGGTTATAACATATTGAAGGCTTAGAATCTTGAATCTACCATACAATGAGCGTCCTTCTAGAAAAGGGGAGAGCAGCAAAGTTTAAAGAACCTAATGAACAAGAATATCCAAAAAGAAGCTGTAGCTCCCAATAATGGGGGAAGATTCTATGGGGTTAGCCCTGCGTTGGCTCATCTGGTTGAGTTGTCCTGCTCCCCCGTCCTCCCTCTGTCTCCACTGCAACAATAGAAGTGAGGCAGCTTGACTTTACCACAACTCCTGCAATATGAACAGAGTCAGCCAAAGAATATGCACAAACCAAGAAAATTTCTCAAGACAATAAGCATTTTACACCATCACAGACGTTATGGGCCGACTTTATCACAATACAAGATGCCTACATGAGTCAAATCATCGTATTTTGAATATTTTGTTCTTTCCAGATGAACCGGATATTTTTCATATGGTTAGAAGGCGAAATTGATGTAATGCATCATCTTTGATGACAAACTTGGGAGGAAAAAAAAAACAGTGGATACATAGGACCTTGTGGAATTAGGGGGAAAAATCACTTCCCAAAAAAATTAGTCAATCGAAGATAAGGAATAAATGCAATTCCCTAAACTATGAACATGTAGTAACTCTTCAGCATATGCAAAAAAAACTATTCAAACTTTCGCTAGCTATCATATAGCCCATTGGCATCCTTTGACAATAGCTTATTTCATTTTTCCTTTCTTGTAAAACTACATCACAGACATCAGTCTTCCCTAACACTTGACCTCAAAACTCAAAAGTCAAATGCTAATTAGAGATATCCAATTAGTCTATTCAGTGACCTGAACTACACTGGCTAACAAATTGCGAGAACTTGACAATCATAGAGGAATACATCCGATATGAAGCAAAAAATTACAAAATCATAAGCAGGTTAGTTCAGCTTTCGTGAAAACACAGCTTCCCAATACAATCATATATGCAATCACTGGATTGATCATGTTTCAGTATCACAATCAACAAAATCTGAGCAGATTAACTTCCCCATAAGCTAAAAGCAACGTTGGAAACTAGTTCGTAAGGGAAGAGCAGGGAGAATCTTACTTGCACCGAATTATAACTGGAATAGGTTTTAGAGCTTTTGGGCCATTTCTTATGCCTCTTTTATGTGGAGAAACCTGCAAAACATTGGCCACGAATTGCTTCCTCAAATTTTCCAATAAAATCCAGACAATAACGAGTTTAGAATAGGAAGTCTGAAAACCCAGCGTAGCCCTAGACTAATGTTTCAAACAAACATGTAAATATTGTCATACATTCAGATATACACATKGATGAGCTACAAGAATTTCAAGTCCAAAAGAAAATCTATGGACTCTAAAACCACATAATCGTCACAGTGCTTATCATATTAGAATAGAAATAATCACTGCTGCCAAGTACCATACGATATCAAGCACTGACCTCAGAAACAGAACAAAAATAAAGTTCCGAACAATTCTCTTAAAGCACAATCGAATAACAGCTTACATATCCCACAAATATAAGCAATGTCCATTTTTAAGGTTCTACATTTTCCACTAGGTTCAAATTGCTTAAGATTCTATTGTAGGAATAGTACCTTCAACGTGTTTGATGCTTTGGAAAGAAAAAAAGGACGGGGGAATCCAATACCTTCCTCTTAGGAACAGCCATGAGCTCCATGGACCCGGAAAAAGATAAACTAGGGAAGCCAAATCCCACACTACTGCAGTTGCCGATCCTATCGCTATCAGATTCATGGTTAAACTCCGGCAGAACCAGCGGCGGCGTAGAATCCTTTCGGTCCATGATCCCAGATAACGGCGAAAAATGGGGTAAAACATTAGCCATCGCCTTGAGCCCTAGCATCGAACATGTCTGACCCTCAACCGCCCTCATAATCCTCAACGCCATAGCTGCGAGCTTGTGCCCGTACTGATTTTAGTATCTGGCGGTGGAAATCGGACTAAGAAGCCGACGGGGTTTAGGAATGGAAATGCCCAACACGAATCGATGGTGTCGTTTTGACCTTGGGCCGGGTCAATGGGCCGGCAACAGAATTGGATCACATAGTTCGGTCCAAGAGCCCAAAGCCCGGCATCAGGAACATTTTCAACATCATGAGAATACTGAAAAAACAAACCAATTTATTATTATTAAATATTGTGTGTATTATTTTTAGGTTAACTAATTTATTGCCTGTGATCTTCTTACACAAATGTGAGAGCGATTGAATTGAAACTTTAACCTTAATGAAGGTTTGACTATGTATGGTTTTCAAAAGTTCAAGTACCTTAGTTTACGTAATATTTTTTTTTAATTTGGTGTATATGATTTTCAAAGTTTTTCTAATGAAAACATGAACATGGTTTAATGAGCTTGTGAGTTTGAATCCTTATCTTTAAACATTGTACTAAAAAAGATATTTCGAAGTTTTAGTTCTATCTCTATGACAAAATGGTTTATCATTATAAGCGATTAAATATGTGTCGTTGATGAATAAAGTTTTTTATTTAGTTATATATATATATATATATATATATATATATATTTATTTATTTATTTATTGAATCGCTTAAAAAATGACAATGAGAAAATTTTCATGAAACATTTAGCCTTGATTAAAAAAAAACATTCAGCAGCATTCTCATTTATGGTTAAACATAAGCATG